CCGCAGCTTCTTAAGGGTCGCCATGGGAACAGGGACAGACGCAGGCACAAGGTGTCCTGGCAGGAGCTCTGTGACCTGTGCCACCCATGGGTGGGGGTTCTCAGCTCACTGGCCACCCAGGAGCTGGGCCACCGGGGAGGGGAGCCGTGGGCACGGGCTCTGCATGCTGCTATCACGGGAGGGCCCCACACCCATTATACAGATGAGGAAACCAGGACTCGGTGGCTACAGACCCAAGGTCCAGCCAGGGCTGCCTGCTTGCCGGGAGGGCGTGTCAGCGGGAGGGACAAGGAGGCTGGGGGTGGGGGAGGGCCGGACACCGTGGGGCCTGTCCCTGAGGCTGCACTATGGCCTGGTCAGCAGAGCAAGCCCATTTCCACTGCCCAGGGCACTGGATACTCAGGAAGGTCAGTGGTTCTCTGAGGGAGAGAATTCAGGAATAAGCTGGCCAGCCAGGGCCTGTGGACCCTGTGCTCTGCTCAGCCAGGTCAGAGCCAGCCCGGGGGGAGGGGTTGGGAAGGCTGGGGTCTGGCGCCTCCCAGTTCCCCAGCCACAGCCACCAGCCGCCCTCCCAGAGCAACCAGCAGGAAGCAAAGGCCAGGCTGATCCAGGGACTTGGCTGGTGTCAGTGGCAGGGCCTGTGGCAGATGGCAAATTCTTCTCATTGGAGAAGAGTGGAAAATAATTAGCATGGGAGCAGAGGACCAGTGATAAATGGAGCCCCAGGGTGGGGAGAAGCCAGGCCCAGAACCACAGTGCCCCAGCCCTTGGTGTGTTACCCACTCTCCCAGCTCCCTTCCCTCATCCAGAAAGTGCCCTAGGGGTAGTGCCCTGCGGGTGGTTACTGATGAAGGCAGAAGTCTGCCGGCTGCTTGCTGCCCCCCTCCTCGTGTAGTAAGTGCCAGGCGAGTTTGGGAACCATGCTCCAGGGGGAGGGGTTGCTGATGGCATCTCTGGGTCCAGCACAGTGGCACCGGCGTTTCTCGCAGTGGCAGGGCTGGCACTCGGGCTGCTGGGCAGACAGCGTCTCCCTGTGGGGAGCATGGCAGAAGGGCCCGGCTTCCACACCCGTCTCCCACTCCTGAGGTGGCCCATTCCCCACCTGTGGGGCTGTAGAGAGGACCCCTAAGTGTGAGGGCCACAGGAAGCGCTTGCTTCACCTCGGAGGCCAGCCTGGTGGGAGGCAGAGAGCAGGGCGTGTGAGGACCACCCCTGCTGAAGTCCTGCCCCGGCGGGGGCAGCTCTGCTCCACTCCGCTCCAGCACAGCTGATGTGTGAACAGCGACAGCCTTCAGCCCTCCTTGGGTGCACAGCTGGTGGCATGCACTGTCCGGCCCAGCGCTCTCTGCTGCCCTTGCCTGTCCCACTCCTGTGCAGGGGCAGCAGCCCGGGGGTGAAACGGGCTGTGGGCCTCAGCCAGGCGCCCCTGGGAACAAGCAGTCAAGGAGGCTGCGTGAGGCCCGGCGCTGCCACACCCTCGCCATGCCATCCCTGGGGGACTCATGTCGCCTCTCTCCAAGCTGTGGTTTGCTGTGTGCGAGGCGGGGTGGTGCCCAGCCTGGTGGATGGAGCTCCTGGAGGAGAGCACTTTATGGCTCCTACGGCCATTCACAGACCCTGTGCCTGTGTACGCTGTGTCCCTGCCACTTTCCAATGGCAGCACCCACTTCTTTTTGTGTTTTGGTACCGGGGATCGAACTCAAGACCTTGTACTTTTGAGGCAGGCGGCGGCACCACTGAGCTAAATCCGCGCCAGCACCCACTTCTTAAAGGGGCGGTTCATCTCCGCTCCCAGTTCCAGGGGATGATCCAGGCTCTCAGCTAGGAGCAGCTCGGCAGAGGGGCTGGCGGGGGACGCTGCTCACCCCACGGCGGGCCCGGAGGCCAGGAGGAGAGGAGGAGCAGGGGCCAGAATCTCCCTTCCCGTCTCACCCAGTGGATCGCACGGCCACCCAGGCCCCGCCTCCTGCAGCGCTCTGAGCCGTGCCCTCGCCCGTGGGTGAATCCCCTGCTGGGCACAGCGCCCCATGACCCGGCCACCTTCCGAAGCCCGCCTCTGCATATGTGCAACTTTGGGGAGACATTAGGATCCAAACCCTGACAGGTCCGGAGCTAGCTCGGAGCTCGATGGGCAGCTGGTGGCATCCTCACCGCAAGAGCAGCAAGTGGAGGCCAAGTGTGGGTGCTGGAGCCCGGCCTGGGGCCCCAGACAGGTCGGCTGTCTGAAGTACGGTGGCGACAGCACCTCCTCGTGGAGTGGTTGGGGTCCCCCGTGTCAGTGTTTGTGAAGAGCTCGGGTGGGGAGAAAACACAGCTGATTCATCAGGCTGATGAAGCAGGAACTGGAGCCACCAGACCCCCCCAGCCTAGCAACACCAGTGTGCATGCAGCCCCTCCACCTGCTGCTCTCGGAGGTTGTGTGCCATTGTCCATCGTCAGGCCCTGGAGGGTCAGAGCTTCCTAACCACCAAGAGTGGAGAAGGTCGCTGGGGTGGACGGAGCCTCGGGCTGCCAGGGCCCAGCCTCGCTGTGCCTAGAGCAGAGGACTTGCAGGACTGGGGCAGGCTGTGGCTTCCATGGCCCAAGCCCACTGTGGCTTCTGTGCCCGGTGACAGCTTCCCACCAACCCTAGGGCACCGATGCTCACTGGCGGGCAGCTGGGGGTGAGGCTGGGTGCCGTCGGCAGGAGGCAGTGGCCTGGCCACAGGGTGAGGGCATTGGTGACTGGAGGCGGAGATCCTTCCCTGGTGGGAAGTGGGTGGACTGGGTTGGCTTCTGGAAGCTTATGCATCTTTGGGGCGGCAGGAGAGGCCTGGCTCCGGCTTCCCCAGTGACACTGTGGTAACGGCCAACTCAGAAGGAAGGAGGGAGCCGCCTGGGAACTTGGGCCATGTGCAGCACCTGGCGGGCACCACAAGCGAGCGTCCTTCCTGAGCCTCTGTGTCCACCTGCGAGGGGCACGTGCCTGCCCCAAGTCTGTGCCTTACACTCCTCCCCCACTATGGGTGCTGGGCAGCACAGGGGGATGGGGACGCCTGGGCGAAGTCTCGGTGTCCTCCAGCAGCAGTAACGGGAGAAGTGCAGGCTGGCCCTTCCCAGAGGTCCGGTGGCCTCACCAGGACCCTGAGATGGGAGGAGACAGAGGCACAGCAAGGTTGCCGCCTTGCCCCGGTCACAGCTGGCATGGGCAGAGGCCACCGCCTGGCATCAGCAGGTTAACTGTAGGTCGGTGTGTCCGGACCTCGTTTGAGTGAGGGGCCTAGAAGGAGGGAGCTGTCAAGGAGGGCTTCAAGGTGGGCCATGGCATGCACCTGCCACCCTGCACTCGAAGGCCGAGGCAGGAGGGTCACAGGTCTAAGCCCAGCCAGGGCGCATAGTAAATTCCAGGCCAGCCTGGATGATGGAGACGAATCTGTTGAGGAGCAGGTGACTTGACTGGGCTGGAATGATAGGATTTTGCCTGGCGGAACGAGGTAGCTACCTGGAGCTTGCCGCAGCCTGCGGGGTGGAATCTTTGGGGAGCAGCAAGTTCTGCTTGAGGGGAGGGGAGGCCTCGGTGAGCCAGGCCCTGCCCTCAGGACAGGCTGTGTCTCCAGGCGTTCTCAGAGGGGCTGAGGCTGCCGAGGTGGCACAGGGACCGAGGCTTCGTCACTCACTGCGTGGCTTGGACTTGATCCTGCAGACCACGGGGAGCATAGAAGGGTTTCCATGTAGGGACAGCATGACTTCTAAAGAGTAGCATTTTTAGAAAGAGGAACTCCCAGAGTGGTGCATGCCACACCCCAGGGCCTGAATCATCATGGGGAAACTGGGCCTTGTGGGCAGGAAGGAGGGAGGCTCTTGGGGCTGCCTAAGTCATTCTTCCCTGCCCCTGCCTCAGCGACTCTGCCCTGGGGGCGTCCAGACAGGGAAGCAGCTCTGCTGCCCTCCTGGGACACTTCCTGCAGATGACGTCACAGCCACGGGAACAGGCCCTCATTGTGACCACCACGGTCTCAGAGAAAAGGTGCCTTTCAGGCCCTTAAAAATAGCCTCTTGGGACATGGATCTGTGGCATGAACCCCGTGCAGCAGGGGCCTGCCACCCCTCCTGGGCCGTGACCTGTAGGTGACCAGTGTGGGAGGCCGAGCAGCATGGTGGCCGGACAGGGCGGGGCGCTGACTCAGGCCCACGCTGCCCCTTGGACCCCGACGCTCCGGCCTGCTCTGGCCTGGCCTGGGCCTTGCGTGCCATGTCGCTCATCATCCTTGCCAGCCTTGGGAGGTAGGCAGGGGGGACACGGTACAGATGAGGACCCTGAGCCACGACTCCTGTATCACATGGCTAGAGCTGTGAGGTCTCCACTGTGTGCCTAGGCTTGGGTGGCGGTGGGCTGGCCACAGCTGCTGGCCGTGGGGGGACAGAGGCTGCCACTGGCCCTGTGGCTCCAGGGTCTTGGCGGCCCTGTGGCAGCTCCGAGTGCCTGTGCCGGGTGACGGGTGAATGGTCCTCGTGACCAAAGGGTGTTTGCCCCGCAGACCCCACGAGGGGACGGGTGAGGCCGAGGAGGCCTTGTGCAGGGAGGGGGGCCTCAGGGCGGGTGTTCTGGGAGGCAGAGGAGCTGGGCACATGGTGGCCAGACCTGCTCCACCAAGCCCTTGGGGCAGAATGCAGAGCCCCGGCCCTGCTGCTGACCTCCGCCCTCTGGATGTGTCCCATGGTGTGGGGAGCACTCCGCAGCCCCGCAAGCCCAACCTCATACTCCGCGCAGCCTCTGAGCCACCTGCAGAGGAGGGTGGTGAGGCAGCTGCTCCAGCTCCTCCTGCCCAGCCCCTCCTTCCTGCCTAGCCAGGTCCGGGTTCTGCAAACCCAGGAGCGCTGCCCACTTGTCACAGGCGCACAAAGCCCCCGCCCCCGGCCGCCTAACACACGTCTCCCCCATCCCCGCCCTTCTCCCTTTCCATTCCCCAGTCCCCGCTCCTCAGCTCCTCCTCAGAGTGTGGATGATGTCACTTCCTGGGGGGAGGAGCAGGCACGACCGGGCAGGCCAGCCCGCCAGGCTGCCAGCACCAAGCAATCCTGGAGAGCTGTACAAAGTGGCCGCACGCGGGGCAGGGGACAGGCTGGGCCAGACATGCCAGTGGCCAGCCGGCCCCATGTCCCCTCGCCCACCCCAAGGGCTGTGCCCACTGGCTGGGGAGGACCTGGCTGCTTCCTTCCTGAGTGATACCAGCCTCCGAGGACACATGCCTTCCCCGGAGCCATCCCTGGGGAGAGGAGGACCTGCCACTCCCCCCTGGACCAGGTGCCATGTAAGCCTCTGTGGGCTGCAGACTCCCTGCCCTGCCACCAGGGTCTGCCCGGATGACCTCTTGCCTGTGCTGCCGTCCTCCTCCGGCCCTGGGGAGGGTCCTGGGTGCTCCTGAGCTGGCATCTCGCTGCTGGGGTCCTTGATGTTGACTCTAGGAGTTGAGCAGCAGGAAGCAGCTCCTGCCTAGGGAGGGCTCAGTATTTCCAGTGGCCCAGAGGGAGTCACCACCGGTACCAGAGATGCGAACGCTGCTGACCACATCTGGGATGAACGCAGTGGCCCTGGGACGTACAGCCTGCCCAGGCTGCTCCAGGGTCCTCTGCTCTCTTGCAGGAGGTGAGCACCAGGCCTGCTGAGCCTTCCAGAGTCGCCAGCCATGCCCGGGATTGTGGTGTTCCGGCGGCGCTGGTCTGTGGGCAGCGATGACCTCGTCCTGCCAGCCATCTTCCTCTTCCTCCTGCACACCACCTGGTGAGTCTTGTGCCGGGCTGCAGACCTGGGAGGCAGCCTGTGGCCGCCTGCCCTCCTGCCTGGGCCCTCACCCTCCCTGACCTCCTGGCTCCCCAAGGAGGCACCTGCAGGATGGAGCCCCCTGGGTAGTGTGCCTGAGGAGCCAGGTCACCTACCGGCCAGTCACCAGGTGGTTGCTGACAGCAGATGATGTAGCCAGGTGTCTTACGTTTTCATCACTAGGACAAAATATGTGAAGCTCACAACTTGAAGGAGGAGAGGTTTATTTTGTCTCACAGCTTTTAGGGGATTCAGTTCTTAATCGGCTGGCTCCAAGGCAGGAAGGGCATGGTGGGAGGGCCTGGCAGTCAGGGAGCAGAGAGGAGGACCAGCTGGGGACAGAGTGCACGGGTCTAGGCCACGCCCCAGCAACCTACCTCTTCCCATTAGACCCTACCTTCTACAGGACATTTAGCTCTGAGTTCTCCTGTATTGATCCACTGATGAGTATAGCACCCCCCCATCCAGTTACCTTCCAAAGCCTGACCTCTGAATTTAGGAGCCTTTTGGGCGACATTTCTAGACCTAAACCATAGCATTCTGCCTCTGGCCCCCAAAAGACTTGTGTCCACGTGTTTATAGAAAATGCATTTAGTGCATTTGTAAGAGTCATCAAAGTCTTAACAGTTCCAGCATTGCTGACACAGAGCCAAGTCCAAAGTACCCTATGAGACTCAAGGCAAACCCTTAGCTGTGAGCCCCTGTGGAAATAAAAAAACATTAAACATTGCCAACATGCAATGGTACAGTAAACATTCCCATTCCAGAAGGGAGAAATAGCAGGATAGAAAGGGCTGGATCCAAACCAACACTGAAACCCAGCAGGGCAAACCTTAAATCCTGTAGTTCCACATCCATCGCCCAGCACAAGCTGTGGAGAGATGTGGGCTCCAAGGGCTTGGGCCAACCCACCCCAACAGCGTTGCCAGTGGCAGCTCTCATGCCTCTCGTTCGGCTCCACTCACTGCCTGCACCCTTCCTCAGCGGAGCATCTGTGTTCCTGGCATCTCCACTGTACCTTCAGCTTCACTCTCACAGCTTCCCACACTGCCCTCTTGGGCTCACTGCCTGGCCTCCTGGGCCTTCTTCTGAAGTCTGGGTGGACGCCTTCCTGATCTCAGAACTCTCGCATTCTCCATGCCTGGAAACCACACCATGGGTGGCCTCAAGGTCTGCCACCAGCTCAAGCAGTAGCCAGTTCCCCTGGGCTGTGGCTGCTGAGGCCTCCAAGTGCCCAAATGGTGGAGCACTGTGAAGTGAGTCTTGGAGAAGCCATCCCCTAGGTGGCGCTCTCGAGCGGGGGCCAGGGACTCTCTTCTCAAAGAAAAGGCTTATAGTTTCGCACCTTTGAGCCTGAGAACAGTGGTGTCTTACTGATGCCTCAAGTGCCCTTAGCCACCTTTACTGTTACCCTGTGAAAACCACCAGCTTCTTCAATGCTTATCTTTTCCACTTTGCTCTCCATGGCCCCAACTGTGCAGGCCAACTGAAAACTTCTCCAATGGGCTTTTTGCTCTTGATTCTCACTGTAAATCGGGGTGAAAGCAGACAGAAGTTTCCATGCTACAGCCCAAATGTTGAGCTACCTTAAAATTTCCTCCAGATTTGTTAGTTTGCCTTGTTAGTTTGCCTTCCTCAGTCTCCTGAAGTCTCAGAACATGGGCAAAGTGAAGACAAATTTTTTGCCTGGGTATAATACACATGGTCTGTATTCCAACTGCCAATGGAGGCCTTCTCAACAGAAACCTGAGCCTGGCCTTTACTGTCTGCATTTCTGTCAGCTTTCTGGTCTTCAGAGCTCTGACCACAATTGCCCATTAAGCTTGGCTCAGAGCATTCTAGGGCTTGTCTTGCCAGCATCTCCAAACCTTTCCAAACACCTCCTGCATGCCACTTCCAAAGGCTTATGAACCACATGGCCACTTTAGTGACCCCACTTCTTTGGTACCAAAACCTGTCTTGGTCACCTTCTGATTGTTGGGACACAATATCCTTGACATCTGCAGCATAAAGGTGGAGAGTTTATTTTGGCTCATAGTTACAGTCCCTGGTCAGCTGGCTCCAAGGCAGGAACAGCGTGGTGGTGGGGCCTGGGAGAAGGGAAGCTGCTGGTGTCTGGCTGCTGGGAAGCAGAGAGAAGGGAGGAGCCACGGCCTTCCAGGCCACGCCACACGACCCGCCTCTTCCCCAGACCCTGCCTTCTCACAGGCCATTTCCCACTGACTCTTCAGGGGGTGAACACTCGGCGGATGGGAGTGTCTCACCCCCCCTATCCAGTCACCTTACCAGAGCCCAGTCTCTTGAGCACGGGAGCCCTGGGGGCCGAGTTCCAGATCTAAACCATGGCCACAGGCTCCTGGCTCCTGCCCTGCCCTCTCGCTGAGCACAGCCCGGCGCTGTCTGGTGGTGCAGACCCGGGTCCTCCCTCAGGTTTGTGATCCTGTCCGTGGTGCTCTTCGGCCTGGTCTACAGCCCGCACGAGGCCTGCTCCCTGAACCTGGTGGACCACGGCCGCGGCTACCTGGGCATCCTGCTGAGCTGCATGATCGCCGAGATGGCCATCATCTGGCTGAGCATGCGTGGGGGCATCCTCTACACAGAGCCCCGGGACTCCATGCAGTACGTGCTCTACGTGCGCCTGGGTAAGGGCTGCCCCCGGGGTGGGGGTGCTCAGATGCCCGTGCAGCCACTCAGCTGTGCATGCCGTGGGCGAGCCTATGCCAACACCAGGGACAGCGATGGGGGAGACTGCCTGGGTGGGCACACTGTGAATGAAGTTTGTGGAAACACGCACACTCGTCTGTAGGACCCTGGGCGGCGCTGGCCCTGCAGCAGCCAGGATGAGTCATTTATTCGGAGCCCATAGGACCAGATCTACAGTATTTGCTCTCTGACCCTTTATGGATGAATTTTGCTGTCCCTGATTCTAGCTAGGGTGCTGCTGCAGGGCACCTTCTTTGTGATGTCCCAAACAGGCCCATCCCTCCTGGAGGAGGCCTCGCCGTCTCCTCCTGCAGGCTGAGAGGCTGGAGCTGGGAGGCCGTGGTTTCCATGAGTGGACATTCGTGTCTTCCTCTCGTAGGTGGGAGCTGGGGCTGCATCAGGCACCCCCGGCCTTGCACAGTCTTGGGACATGGACCTTGTCACCCCAGGTCTCAGTTGAGGACTCAGGTCAGGGAGCTCACCTAACACAGGGCTGATCATAATTCTGAAGTCCAGGAGGAGCAGGGAACCACCTCCCCTCCCTCCCCTCCAGTGCTTCAGGGAGCAGCCTCAGGCCTGTGCCTCTGGTGGGTCAGGCATCCGGCCCTTGCCTGGCAGGCATCGGTGCAGCCCTCAGCCTGGCCTTTCTCTCTCCCTGCAGCCATCCTGGTGATCGAGTTCATCTATGCCATCGTGGGCATCGTGTGGCTCACCCAGTACTACACCTCCTGCAATGACCTCACTGCCAAGAACGTCACCCTTGGTATGCCAGCCAGGGTGGAGGGCACACCGGGCGGCGGGGAACCCAAGGGCCCGGGCTGGGTGGGCCGAGGTTGGCACGGGGCAGCAGGGCGGCCGCTGTGTGCCAGCCTGGCCTTGGGCTCGGGCTCTGCAGGGCCGGGCAGGGCAGCTGGGCCTCGGCCCTGTGCCCCGGTGTCCCTGCTTCGGAGCTGGTGACCGTGTCCCCCGCGCCCCTCGCCCCCCACGGCTGCCCCAGGGATGGTCGTCTGCAACTGGGTGGTCATCCTCAGCGTGTGCATCACCGTGCTCTGCGTCTTCGACCCTACGGGCCGCACCTTCGTCAAGCTGAGGGCCACCAAGAGGAGGCAGCGCAACCTGCGGACCTACAACCTGCGGTCAGTGGGCGGGCGGTGGGGGACACGGGCGTCAGTGGGGGCCTTGCCCTCCCTGTCTCGGGTTCCACGTGGTCGGGGAGGGAGTGGCTGAGGGTTACAAGAGGTGGTGAGGGAGGCGCCAGTGCTGGCAGCAGCACATGGGAGGTATGCAGAGCGCGCCACCGCTCCATGGACAGCTGTCCTTGTTCCGCACGGGGACCTGAGGTTGTGCAGAGAGCAGAAGGCAGGGCATGGACCAGCCGGGGGCTGCCATAAGCCCTCGCCTCACCCCTCAGGCAGGGCCACCTGGGCTTCAAGGCTTGGAGAACACAACCAGGTTCGGCAAGGGCGGGCCTGGGCTTCACACTGAGCCACGGCAGACAGGGCGAGGGAGAAATGAAGGGGCCTTCTGGTGGGCCGCACTGACCTGGTGACCAGGCAGAGCTGAGCCCTTCCTTCTGCTTTGGCCCCTTTGCCGCCCAGTGCAAGGGCTTTGAGATCCAGCCTGCAGACTGGCTCTGCGTGGCGACTGGGAGGACCCACCCAAGGACCCGCCCAGGACCCACCAAGCCCAGCCGTCCTCCACACGGCATGGCACAGGCCCTTCCACGTCAGCCCCTCGGATCTGCTCCGCTCCCTGCGAGCAGCATCCTCGCCCAGCCGGGCCCCCTCCCAGCCCTGAGCACCAGCCTGCTCCCCCGCCCCCAGCTGCTTCCCACCCCGCCTGCCTCACTCATGGCCCCTCACGCCCTCCCTGACCTGGTCCTGGAAAGAAACTTCCCTTCCCGGCTGGGTGATCGCCCGGGGCCCAGGCAGCGGTTGCTGTGTTTTAATTAGAGAGCCTCTGTGGTTTCCGCCACAAGGTGAAGGACAGGCCTGAGCTGCCGCCCTCGACCTGCTGCGGTTTCTGTCCATGCGGGCTCTGCCTGCCCGGGCTGAGGCTGCAATGTGCGCTCCAAAGCCCACTTCCAGGGAGGCAGCGACTGGCATGGGCTCCGTCCCTGCCTGAAGTCGCTGAGGCTGAGGAGGGCGCCCGTGCCCAGCACCCACCCTCCTGGGAGCCTTGACTCGGGATTTCGCAGAAGGAGCCTCTTCCTGGCTTCAGTGTGCTGCAGGGCAGGGGGTTCGGGACCAGGAATTTCCGCCAGCCTGGGTTTATGTCTCTGGCCTCCTGCAGTAGCTGTGGCAGGCACTGAGCCACACTTGTCACTGGCCAGCTCAAAGTCCCCAAATGACCCGCCCCTTGGTGCGTCTCAGTGGCACTTCGTTGGAGCCTGCAGGCGGGCAGGAATCTTCCCTCCCCGAGGGGTTGGAAAGCGGCAGAGAACTGCGTCCCGGGAAGCCAGCTGGGCCTGTCTCCTCACCCGGCCCTGGAAGGAAGCTCACGGGTTTAGATGCTGGCTGCCCATGGCCGGGGCCCTCTGAAGCCCGGAGACCTGGCCCTCCCCAGCGGCGCCTGCTCTGGAGACCCAGTGGGGCACTCCTGTGAAGAGAGGAGCCCAGGCTGATGGGCTTGCATGGCCCTCCTGCTGGCCTCGAGAGCCTGGGCCTGTGCTCCTGGGGCCTGGCCCAGAGCACAGAGAGGCCTGTTCTGCTGCCGGGCCCAGGGCTTCCGGGTGAGCTCTCCACCCGCTGCAGTATGGCCCTGGGTTAGGCCTCGCCCGAGCCTCCAGAGTGTGCCAGGGAGTGAGCCCACCGTGTCCTGGGGTGCCAGGCTTCCCTGCCAGCAGGAGCCCCAGGCCGGGGGAGCCTCAGATGGAAGCCGGGGCATGGCCGCCCCGTTTCCACAAGCAGCCCCATGTTCCCCTCCCAGGCACCGCCTAGAAGAGGGCCAGGCCACCAGCTGGTCCCGGCGGCTCAAAGTGTTCCTGTGCTGCACCCGCACCAAGGACTCACAGTCCGTAAGTATGGGCAGCCACCCTCGGGCCACACCTGGGCTCAGTTCCTTTGCTCTTGTGGCAGAGCCTGTGGGCAAGCTGGGCGTGGTGGCAGACACTTGTAATCCTAGCACTCAGGAGGCTGAGGCAGGAGGTTCGCTGTGAGTTCAAGGCCAGCCTGGGCTACGCAGTGACTTCAAGTCTAGCCTTGAACTACATAGTGAGACCCTGTCTCAACAAACCAAAAGAAAAAGAAAAACAGAGCCGGTGGGCAGGCCTGGCTGGACGTGGCAGCCTGCTCAGTGTGGGACGGTCTGTCTCCCTGGTGACGCCTCAGCCCACAAGTCAGCTGTCACTTGCTTTGCAGAAGGAACTGAAGCCGTGAGGACTGCCTCGAGCCCTGGAATGTAGGTTAGCCTAGGAGGATGCTCAGAAGTTAGGGGACAGAGGACAGGGCAAGGTGGCCTGAGAGGGCTGGGGTATGTGGGAAACAGGCAGCCTGCAGCTCCGAGCACTGGCTGGAGGGCCTCAGAGGTCATCTGGTGCCAGCAGGGCTGTGACCAGCCGAGTGTCCCCCAGCTGGTAGGTGGCAGGGCAGGGAGGCCAGGAGGCCGCTCCAGAAGCCAGTGGGAACCTGGCAGGGCAGCTCCCCCCAGAGCGAGTGAGCAAACCCGAGAAAGCTCCAAAGTCCCAAGCAGGGCACTCCGGGGGCTCTGTGCTGGGTGTGGACAGGCCACGAGGAGCCCAGGCCAGGGAGGGCTCACTCAGAGTCTGTCTCAGCCTGGAGGGTCCTGTCTGATGCCCATAGCCAGGGGGCCAGGCCCAGGCCTAGGCCTCTACTTTTGGCCTGGATTTTTAATAAGCTTGTGCTCTTTCTGATCAGTTTGTGCTGTGCTGTTTAAAAACTTGTATTGTGGGGCCAGGGATTTAGCTCAGTGATTCTGCCACCTGCCTCGCAAGCGCAAGGTCCAGAGTTTGATCCCCAGTACCAATAATAATAATAATAATAATAATAATAAAAAGTTGAACTGGAACCTGGGTGTGGGACTCATCCAGCACTCTGGGAGGCTGAAGCAGGAGAATTGTAAGTTTGAGCCCAGCCTGGGCGATTTAGTGATTTAGTGAAACCCTGTCTTGAAATGGAAAAGGACTGGGGATGTAGCTCAGCGGGAAGGCCCTGGGTTCAACCTCCAGATACGTGGCATAAAACAGCAACAAAAATAATTGAAAAAACCCACAACCTGGCCACCAGCATTAGAGATCAGGCGTCGGGCTCTGTAAAGGGCTTGTATTTCTGAATCTGGCAGCTGGGGCCTCTCCACCAGCTGCATCTTTAGGCGTTGAGTCCCCCACCCCAGGTTTCTTCCCCTGAGTGCCAGACCCATCAGGGTGAGCCCAATGGGACAGAACCAGTGCCTCAAGTCTGCCCCTACCTGTCTAGTCCCTGACGGGTCTGGAAGGACACTGGCCTCCGGGAGGCGAGAGCGCCCCCTTCAGGGCCCTTGCCCCAGGGCCTAGAAGGACAGAGGAGGTGGCAGCAGCGTTGGCACCGGGTGCAGTGGACAGCGTGGTGTGGGGCCGACAAGGAGAGGCGGGGGGGGGGTGGCTGGAGTGTCCCCAGGTGCCGGCCTCACCCCTGTGCTCTGTGCCCTCCACCTGCCCGGACCTCCAGGATGCCTACTCGGAAATTGCCTACCTCTTCGCCGAGTTTTTCCGAGACCTGGACATCGTGCCCTCCGACATCATTGCGGGCCTGGTGCTGCTACGCCAGCGGCAGCGGGCCAAGCGCAACGCGGTGCTGGATGAGGTGAGCGTGCAGGCCTCCCGGGCTCCGCCTCCTGAGGCCCCGCCCCACCCCAAGTCCCCTCCCGCTCCAAGCTCCCACCGCCGCCTCGCACAGGCTGAGTGACCCCTTCTCAGGGCCAAGCAGGGCGTCCAGGCCGCCCTCCCAGACCTTCCCCATGCTGTCCCGTCCCTGCTGCTTCTGCGTTCCTCGTGGTCTCAGTGTTGGCGCCTGCAGAGCCCCTACCCTCGCAGGGTGCCCCAAGGCTACACTGCTTTGGCGCAAGGAGGGACCTAGAAGCGGGCTTCTGATCACGGGGCTCTGGCACTGGGAGCCCCTGCTCCTTTGGCCCTGGGGCCTTGGGGAGCGGTGGAGCCGCAGGGCTGGGCCCCCGCCCACCTCCGCACCTGTCTTCCAGGCCAACAACGACATCCTGGCCTTTCTGTCCGGGATGCCCGTGACCAGAAACACCAAGTACCTCGACCTTAAGAACTCGGTGAGTCACAAGCCGCTCCTGGCCCCGTCCTCCGCCCTCCTCAGAGCCCCAGCTCTCAGATCCCATGCCCCTCCCTTGTAGCCCCGAGCCCCCACCAAGGCCCCTGGCCGGTGGCTGTGGCCTCTTGAGGTGGCGGGGTGAGCCGGGACCTTACCCCACCACTGCTGGCCCAGGACGGCAGGCGCAGCTGCATCTCTCCAGCCCTGGGGCCCTGGGGCCTTGGGTGGAAGCCAGCGCTACAGGAAAGCCAGCAGCTGGCTGCAGTGGGCACAGCCGGGGAGCATGGGCCTGGGGTCTCTGTTGCCCTCCGGTCCCCACTGTGAAGGGACCCAGGGCACAGCTTCACCCGGAGCTGTGGGGGAGCAGAGGGGCCCAAGGCGAGGCTGGGGAAGGCTGCCCTGCTGGCCTCATGCTTTAGGGAGGCCCAGGCCCCAGGCTGCACCTGCCCACTCTGCAGACAGCTGAATCCACCACGGCTGCCCCAGCAGCATCTGCACTCGCCATGACCTGCCTGGCTGACTGCTGCCACCTGGGGTGACCCTGGGGGGCCCAAAGGCTGTGGGAACCTGGGCACAGACCCAGCATGGTCTCCCCAAGATCTGGGAGCCCAGCGCCCTGCAGAGCATGGATGGGACCCTCTGCCACTCCAGCCGGCAGAATCTGTAGCAGCCCCGGGCCACCAACCCACCGGGTTTCCCTGGTGCCTTGTCCAGGGGACCCCAGCCTCCTGGGGCCCTGCCTGGGCGCCACCCCCGCATCACAGACCGGGAGCCCACCTGTGTCCCCTCGCCAGTGTGGCAGCTGGAGGCCCAGGGCCTCTCGGGCTTGATCACCCTTTCCCCAGCCTGATGGCCGTGGCAGGGTGACCCCGCTCACACACTCACTGTCTGCCAGGAAACCAATCCAGTGCTCCTGGTGATTTGCCGTCCCCAGATCATGAAGTCTGAGGTTGCAGGACAGGTCCCCGAGGGCCCGTGCTGTGCACAGCAGGAGTAATAGGGACGTGCAGGGAGCTGGAGGCGCAGCCCCCATTCAGGCTCTGTCTTCCAGCACGAGATGCAGCGGTACAAGGAGGTCTGCTACTACATGCTGTTCGCCCTGGCGGCCTATGGCTGGCCCATGTACCTGATGCGTAAGCCCGCCTGTGGCCTCTGCCAGCTGGCCCGCTCCTGCTCGTGAGTGCCACCTCTCCTGCGCCTCTCCTGCGCAACGGGCGGTACAGCTGGGCACCTGGGAGTCACCGCTGCGGGCACTGCCGGTCCCTTCCCTTTCCCACCTGCTCTGTCCCCATCCCTCTGCCCGTGTCTCCCTGCATCCAGGGCCACTTTCCGAGGCGCCTGGTAGCAGCACAGGGCCCTCTCAAGTCCTTTTCCTCAGTTGTAAGAGGTGGTGTCTGCCTGGTGGTCTTGTCAGCCACGGGCCCTGGGGGGCAGGCCCAGGGCACCCTGCAGACAGAGGACGTGGGCACTGGCACCGCCTGCCCAGGGTGTGGGGAGGGCCCAGGCCTGCTCCAGGGCTTGGGATGGGCGAGCCCCGGGGAAGGAGCCCATGCCGGCTTGCCTGGACCCGGCAGTGGACCCCAGGCCGCCCCGGACAAGGGCTGGCTTCCCTGGGGCTCCACCTCCCCTATCCTGGGCCCAGGCCACTGCTCCAGGGAGGGACGGGTGGAGGGAGGGAGGGTCACTGTTCCACGCCCAGTCCACACCCCACCCCAGGGGTGAGGAAGCTGAGGCTTGGGTGGCGGAGCACCCCCAGTCGGGAGGGCACAGCGGGAAGGGCCAGCATGCCGTGACAGGCCCCGCCCCACCTCTGTGCCCCACCATGGGCCTCCTGGCCAGCACCCTGCTCTGCTTGGTGTAGGTGGGTGGTCTGTACCCCAGGCATCAGGGTCTCTGCTGGACCCTGGGCTCCTCCGGGAGGCCTCTCCCATGGGGAGGTGATGACCCCACAGACTGCTCTGCTGTGAGGGAAGACAGCTCAAGCGTCACCCAAGCTCAGGATCCTTGATAGGCCTCAGCTGCGTCCCCAGAGGGCAGGGCCCGGTCTGTGGGTTGGCGGCGCCCTCTGGTGGCTGGACGAGCAGCTGCACCCTGCTGGTTGCACGTGAGAGGCCAGGTCGCCCCTGCAGGCAGCGGCCCAGCAGTGTAGCATGCGGGCGTGAGCCGTGGGGCCCACGCGTGTTTCATGGCCTGTGGGGTGGGAAGCACCAGGAGAGGTGCAGAGGGGGCGTGGGAAGGCAGGGCTGTTGTCCTGGGTGGGATGTGGCCTTGGGGGGCACTAGGCTCGATGGCTTTCAGGGCCCCTGCCAAGGTGGAAACGGGGACAAGTGCAGGCCAGGCGGGGGTGTGGGAGGGAGACGGGGCAGAGGCGGCCGGGGGCCAGGGGCCGAGGGAAGGCCGAGGGAGGAGGCAGGTGGGGGACCCGGGAGTCCACGCCCCGCAGAGGGAGGCGGGGCGCGCGTCAGGAGCAGGTGTGGAGGGACAGGCAGGAATCTGCTGCTGGGGTGCCAGCCCGCGCTCTGCCCCGACACAGCTGCTGCCTGTGCCCCACACGGCCCCGGTTTGCCCCTGGTGTCACCATCGAGGAGGACAACTGCTGTGGTTGCAACGCCATCGCCATCCGGCGCCACTTCCTGGACGAGAACATGACAGCGGTGGACATTGTCTACACCTCCTGCCATGACGCGGTGAGCTCCCGCTGCCTCTGCCCTGGCCCCACCTGCGGCGTGCAGGGGGACCCCAGCCCTGTGCTCAGGACCGGCTCCCCTGGCCCCAGCCGTAGGACACAAGGGTGGCCACGGGGAGTGACGAGGGTCCCTGTGCCCCAGGAGGTGGCGGCGCTCGGGCGGCTGAGTCAGAGTGGAGGGCAGGGGCCTTGTGCCGGGAACTCAGGGCTCGCTCACTGCGGGAGCCAGACGTCTGGGCTGCCAGGACAGCGGCAGAGTATGGCCACCGGGCCCTGGGCTCACACGCAGCCCCCCCAGGTGTACGAGACCCCCTTCTACGTGGCTGTGGACCACGACAAGAAGAAAGTGGTGATCAGCATCCGGGGAACGCTGTCCCCCAAGGTACACTGCGCCCCGAGAGGCCCGGGTGCCCCACCCGACCCCCTCCTGCCCTCACCACTCCCCTCCCCTGCCTCCCCCAGGATGCCCTGACAGACCTGACGGGCGATGCCGAGCGCCTCCCTGTGGAGGGCCACCATGGCACCTGGCTGGGCCACAAGGTACTCGGCTCAGCATGCAGCGGGACGCTGCTGTGGGTGGAGGCCTTGCTCCCTGGGCTGCTGGAGGGCCAGCTGGGGGCGTGGCTTCGCCTGCAGGGCCCGCATGGTCTGTCCTCCGGGTCCCTGTCCCCAGCTGTCCCCAGAGAGCCCAGGGCAGCAGGGAGGCCACACCAGTGTCTGCCAGACGCCACCTGCCAGGCTTCCGATTCCCTGTGAGTGTGACCCGCCCCCACAGCCAGGCTGTGCAGGGCCCACAGGGGACAGGGCCAGTGGCTGCGGGTCTCTGGTTTGCAGGTCCCCAGGCTTCCCGTGACACCCCTGTTTCCCACCAGGGCATGGTGCTGTCTGCCGAGTACATCAAGAAGAAGCTAGAGCAGGAGATGGTCTTGTCGCAGGCCTTTGGGCGAGACCTGGTGAGGCGAGTCCTGCGCCCACAGGGACGGAGGGAGCGCCCACTCCACGGGGACCCGGGGCTCCAGAGTGGAAGTTTCCTGGGAGGGGAAGTCTGTGGAGAAGCTTAAGATACAGCAGGACGCCAGGGACAGCAGCTGGAGTGGGCGGAGGGTGCCCTCCTGTGCCCACCCACCCTGCGGTGGCAGGGGTCCCCGCCTGGGCTCGGAGAGCATTGTCAGCCGAGCTGGCCTAGCGGCCGCAGGCAACACCCAAACACCTCTTGGTCCCCAGGGCCGCGGAACCAAGCACTACGGCCTGATCGTGGTGGGCCACTCACTGGGCGCGGGCACGGCCGCAATCCTGTCCTTCCTCCTGCGCCCGCAGTACCCAACCCTCAAGTGCTTTGCCTACTCGCCCCCCGGGGGCCTCCTGAGGTAAGTGGTGGCCGGGCGGGCATCAGGCTTCCGGCCGTGGAGCTGAGCGGGGCCTCCCAGCGAGTGAGGGGTGGCTATATGGTCACTTATGAGGGTCCACTGGCTCCCACCTGGGACAGAGAGGCTTAGTCGTGGTGGCAGCAGGGGGACAGCACCCTAGAAGAGGGGACATGACCGAGGCCAGACCCCGAGACCCGACACACCAAGCCTAGCGGCTCCCAGGCCCGGCTGGTGACATGGCCCTGACCGCCCATGGTGGGCGGATGAGGGCTGTTGCATGCCCCCGTCCAGCCCTGGACAGCCGTCCTCAGGAGCTGCCTGGGACCACCCTGAGGTGCCTCGACTTCCCTTGCAGCGAGGATGCGATGGAGTACTCCAAAGAGTTCGTGACAGCCGTGGTTCTGGGCAAGGACCTGGTTCCCAGGCGAGTCCCCTCCCATGTGGCCCCTGCCGGCCTGCCCCTGCCTAGGCCCCTCCACACCCGCAGTCGCCCGCGGTGAGAAGACGGGGTGGCAGCCCTCTTGCTCGCCCTGTGGTGTCCCCTGTGACCCCGGCGGCCCTCACCTTCCTCCCCAGGATCGGCCTGTCACAGCTGGAAGGCTTCCGCAGGCAGCTATTGGACGTCCTGCAGCGCAGCACCAAGCCCAAGGTGGGTCCCTGCCGTCCCTGCCCCCCTAGGGACAGAGCCCACCAGGCCCACCATGTCCTGGGACTGCAGGTCTCTAAGCCTGTCCAGGCAGCATGGGACACTGAGGCCCAGGATGGGCAGGAGTCACCTGTAACTCGGGGTCCTGAGGCACAAGGCCCTTGGGAGCTGGGACTGGAGCTGTGGGCGTGCGGCGGGGTCCGCTGAGGTCACCTCCAAGGTCGCCTGCCACCCTGCGGGCTTCCCCTGCAGGCATCCCAGCCCCTGCAGCACCCTGTGTGGTGTCAGGGATCCCTGGTGTGCTACCCGGGCCAGGCCGGTGATGAGCGTGGCAGCTGGGGCAGGGAAGCCACCCTGGGTACGAGGGACCCCGCCTGGGCATTGGCCAGGCCAGGAACCTGGTGCTGGAACCCTGCCCAGCAGCAGCTGAGCTGTTCCAGGAGGGCTCAGACCGAGCAGCCCCGGACCCAGCAACCCCAGGCCCTCTGCGTGGCTCTTCCTGGCCCCCTGGCCACTGGCCCCCCTGCTGCCCACTCGGCCTGCTGCTGGACTGTCCCGTCCCCCGACCCACAGTGGCGGATCATCGTGGGGGCCACCAAGTGCATCCCCAAATCGGAGCTGCCCGAGGAAGTGGAGGTGACCACGCTGGCCAGCACCCGGCTCTGGACCCACCCCAGTGACCTGACCATCGCCCTGTCTGCCAGCACCCCGCTCTACCCGCCGGGCCGCATCATCCACGTGGTGCACAACCACCCCGCGGAGCACAGCTGGTAGGTGGCACCCACTGTGGGCACGGTGGCCGGCACTGAGGAGGGCGGGCCTCACAGCCTGGGCACAGAGCACAGCCACCCTGGCCACTGGCCCCACTCAGGTCTCGAGGATGAATGGCAGTCTGGCGGGGCGGCCGTCCCCAGGACCCCGACCGCCGCAGGCAGAGGCGGACGGGAGGCAGCCTCCTGCTTCCCTCCCGAGGCCGGCCTCTGGTGGGCAGACAGTGACCCTGGCCAGGCTCAGGCTGGCCCCCGGGCAGACGCAGCAGGGCCGTGACGGGACCCGCCCTGTCCCGCAGCTGCTGTGAGCAGGAGGAGCCCACATACTTCGCCATCTGGGGCGACAACAAGGCCTTCAACGAGGTCATCATCTCGCCGGCCATGCTGCATGAGCACTTGCCCTACGTGGTCATGGAAGGGCTCAACAAGGTGAGCGTGGCTCGCCAGGCGGGAGCTGGGACCATGGGTGGGCACTTCCTCACCAGTCCTCCCCGCGCCTCCATCAGACCCTGGGGGAGGCGAGGCCGCATCGGGCCCGGGTCCCTAGCAGCTCAGCCACCGGTGCTCGCCAGACACATAGCCGGGCACAGCCTCTGCCATGTCGGCCGCCACAGCGGGCACGGAGGGCACCGCAGCCTGGCTGCCAGACACGAGGGGGCTGTGCCATGCCTCATACCCCAGGTGCTGGAGAACTACAACAAGGGGAAGACAGCACTGCTCTCCGCGGCCAAGATCATGGTGAGCCCCACCGAGGTGGACCTGACACCCGAGCTCATCTTCCAGCAGCAGCCGCTGCCCACCGGGCCCCCACTGCCCACCGGGCTGGCGCTGGAGCTGCCACCCACAGAGCAGCGCAACAGTAGCGTTAGGTGAGCGCCCGCCAGGGAGAGGCTGTGTGCACGCTGAGAAGGCTCCTCTTGTGCTGGGGAGCAAGCTGCCCTCTGCCCTGCTGTCTCTCGGCCTGGCCCAGGCGAGACAGAGCCACACGTCCAAACATGCAGCACCTGTGTCTACACGCTCGTGCATGCAGGGGCTCACTGTTTCTCCTTGGTGGTCCTGGGGATCGAACCGGTGTCCTTTGCACTGAGCTACCTCCCAGCCCTGTTTTTGTTTTTCATCTTGAGGCCCGGTCTTGCTAAGGTGCTAAGTTCCCTGGCTGGGCTTGGACTTCAATCTTCCTGCCTTAGTTCGCAGAGTGGTGGGATGCCGGGCGTGACCACTGTGGCGCCATACATGTATTTGTGCTGAAGTGCGTGCAAGCACAGGCATGCAGACAGTCAGTCTCGGCGTGCAGACACGGGGCTGACACACAGATGTCTGATGCTCCCTGCTACACAGACGGGAGCTCACAGTGCACTCTCCTGGTGGTCGCCGCACTCTGGGCAGGCGGTGGGCGTGTGGGCAGTGGCTGTGCGGGGCAGGTTGGTGCTGCCTTCCAGGCATCTTTCCCCTGAGCCCACCCGGAGGAGCTGCTGGCCGTGCCCGGGCCTTTCGCAGATCTGGGTACCTCTGCCTGCCTCGTGCCTTTCCCGGGTGGCTGAGTGACCCATGCCCTCCCTGCAGGAGCAAGTCCCAGTCCGTGATGAGCCTGGAGGGCTTCTCCGAGGGCCGGCTACTGTCCCCCGTGGCGGCGGCAGCCCCCCAGGACCCCGTGGAGCTGCTGCTACTGTCCACGCAGGAGCGGCTCGCGGCTGAGCTGCAGGCCCGGCGGGCGCCGCTGGCCACCATGGAGAGCCTGTCGGACACCGAGTCCCTGTACAGCTTTGACTCACGCCGCTCTTCCGGCTTCCGCAGCATCCGGGGCTCTCCCAGCCTGCACGCCGTGCTGGAGCGCGATGAGGGCCACCTGTTCTACATCGACCCCGCCATCCCCGAGGAGAACCCGTCCCTGAGCTCACGCACCGAGCTGCTGGCCGCGGACAGCCTGTCCAAGCACTCGCAGGACACACAGCCCCTGGAGGCCACCCCGGGCAGGGGCAGTGCCACCCCAGAGCGGCCTGCAAGCGTGGCCCACACTGAGGAGGAGGCAGTGGTGGCCGGGGACAGGGCTGGCGCGGCCTGCGGAGACCTGGCCCTGCACAGTGGTCGCCTGGGGGAGTCGCCCAGCCCGCAGGTGCTGGAGTTTGCCGAGTTCATCGACAGCCTCTTCAACCTGGACAGCAAGAGCAGCTCCTTCCAGGACCTGTACTGCATGGTGGCACCCGAGAGCCCCACCAGCGACTACACCGAGGGTCCCCGCTCACCCAGCCAGCAGGAGATCCTGCTCCGCGCCCAGTTCGAGCCCAACCTGGTGCCCAAGCCCCCGCGGCTGTTTGCTGGCTCAGCGGAGCCGTCTTCAGGCATCTCCCTGTCCCCGTCCTTCCCGCTGAGCTCCTCGGGCGAGCTCATGGACCTCACGCCCACGGCCCTCAGCAGCCAGGAGTGCCTGGCAGCTGACAAGGCCCGGACCTCCACGCCCGCTGGGCGCGGGGATGACCTGGTCATCCCGGCACGCTAGCTGGCACTGTGCGCTACTGCCAGGGGCTGGGTGCCTCAGGATGGGGCACTGCTGTGAGCCCGGGGTCCGCATCCCTACCTCAGCCTAGGACCCCCTGAGCCAGGCGGCTGGGACCTGGCCCTGTGAAGTGGGTGGTCCTGCTCGTCAGAGGGGCACCCCGCTCCCCTGTTGCAGGGCAGCTGTGGGCAGCCGGCCCCTACCGCCACCCTCTGGCTGCTGTCCCCCTGGCCCACACTGGCATCTGCCCTGCCACCCCCAGCTCTGGTGCCTGCTGCCCAGCCCCCTGGGGTGGCCTCGCCAAGGTGACCGCAGGGCTCTGTTTACAGAAGCTGCCTGGCCTGGCCCGCACCACACCTAGAGTGCTCAGGTGAGGAGCCGGGGGCCAGGCAGGGCCACCCAGCTCTGCCCCTCCTACTGCGGTCCTGGGCACCCAACCTGCCCCACCTGCCTGCTGTTTCCTGGCCTCCCTTCTACCCCCAAGGACCATGGCCACTCAAAGGGCAGTGGGCGCTGCTGGGACCAGCCCTGGATCCAGAGTCAGCGCCCGGGAGGAGGACAGGGCACCCAAGCCAGCTTCCCCAGCCGGCTTCCTGGCCACTCACCTCCTCCCAGCGGGCCCTGCAGCCAGGGCCTGGGATCTGAAGCCAAATGCACCTCTTCCCCTGCCCTTGCTGGCCAGGGCTCCCTCAAGGGAGCCAGACACCCCCTGCCCTCCTGGCAGGAAGTGGGTCTCGGGCTGCAGACCCTGTGCCCGGCCCAGGGGCGGGTCCTCCCCTGCGGGGCAGGGGCAGGGGCAGGGGCGGGCATGTATGCATGTGCGTGGGCTTGCGCCTTTCCTGAGGAACCCGTGCCCTGCCTGAGGCCGCCCTTTCCAGCCCAAGAAACAGGCGGGAGCAGGGGGGCGGGGGGAGGCCATCCTGGAGCATGGCCCCCCCTGCCTGTCCCTCCCACCCCTCCCAGGCGGCCCCAGTCCCTGACCCAGACCAGTCCCACCCTCGTTGGTACCTGGGCCTGGACGCCTCTGCCCCCCATGCTGGGACGGCGCTCGGCCCCACCTGACACTGGTCTGAGACCTGACATGGGAGCTGGGTCTCCTTCTCTGTGACTCCCGCCCTCCCAACACCAGGCCACCCACCCCAAGCAAGACAAAGTCAGTGGCTCCTAGGACCCAAAACACTAGACAAGCCCTAATCACACGGAAGCTCCCACAAGCACCCGGCCAGCTGCCAAGGGCCCTGGTGCCAGGGTGGTGGGCGCCCAGGCCTGAGCTGGGATCAGGGACAGGACAGACCCCCAGGCTACAGCCGCACCATGTCCCAGACTGGGCCAGGGCAGGCCTGGCCATGGTTCGGTCACCAGGGTCCCCGCTACCCTGAGGATGGGCCGCTGTATGTCCCCGTCCATGGAGGGGCCTGAGCCTCCCTCAGCCCGGGGCTCAGACGGCCCCAACCCGCAGCACAAGCTCTCCGGCCCGGCCACCTCTGGATGTAGCCGTGGCATGGCCAGCCGACTCCTCCTGCACTCTGCGTGCCATTCCCGTGACTTTTTGTACCTAATGTATGAAAGATCCACATAATACTGCTGTACAGAGGAGAGATTAATATAGCTTATCTATAAATATACCTGTACATACCGTTTCTGTACATTGTATAGATCTGTGTATAAATGGATGTGGGACCACACTGGCCCCTTGAGTGACCTCTCTTACAGTGTGGGTCTCAGCAGGGCGGGGAAAGGGGGAAACTGGAAATCCAGCCCAATCCTGTTCTGACCCAAAGATGCAAGGTGTGCTCAGGTGGGGTAGGTACCACCCCACCCGGGTTGTGAGCTGGGTCAGACTGCGGCTCCAGTTGCTGCCGTCCCTGTTGAAGCCCTGCTGGAGCTGGGCATGGCAGGACACCCAGGGGCACTGAGGCAGGAGGACCACAAGTTCCTGTCACAGCTGGGCGGCTGAGGGAGACTCTCAAAGGCAAAAAGGGATGCGGAAGTAGCTGGGTGGTCAGAGCACCCTGGGTTCCATGCCGTGCCCACATATGTACACATGCACGTGGTGGTGGTTCAGAGGGTTGAGGGGCCTGGAGCCTGCATTCTGCACCCCGCCCTTGGCTCCAACCTCAGTGGACACCCGGGCCCAGGGCTGCACTGGGATGCAGCAGGGACAGAAGAGACGCCAGCATGTGGGCGGCAGTGCCCCCAGCACCCCTCAGAGAGCATTAGGGGCTGCCTAGGCCTGGGGCACCAGGATGACCCTGCTGCGCTGAGTGCTAGGCAGTGCTGGGGTCCCAGCACGGGGCAGAGCTCAGCCACCAGATGGCTGGCCAGGCCAGGCCAGGACAGGAGGCTGGCCAGGAACAGCACACCTCGGGAGACCTGGCCAGGCCCTGCCCCCTCCATGCAGCGGGGGCACTGTTCCCTGTCTGCAGCTTCTGTCTTGGCCTCTCAGGGCTCCCCTCGTGGTGTGGAGTCAGGGCCAGAGAGGTCCTGTGGCTGCCCAGCCCCACTGCATAGAGGGAACTCACCCGGCACAGGACAGTGGGTCCCAGACCAGCCACCCAGGAGAGCTACGCGAGCCCCTGCCAGGCCGGCCCCCCTGGGTGGATGGGGCTCTGTGCCACCCCGCCACCATCAAGGGTACCTGGACCCTCAGGACAAGTGGGTGGCCCAGGCCTGGCCGCCAAGAGAGGGAGAAGCTTAGCCCCTTGGGGCTCTGCTGGCCGTGTGGGGCGTGCAGGCCCAGGGCAGCTCTGAGAATCCACTCTTTCTCACTGATCAGGGTCACCATCGCACGCAGGTGCAGAGGTCCTGGGGTGACCCAGAGGAGACAAACCCCGGGCACCTCCTAGAAAAGAATGGGCAGCTCAGGGTGGCCTGCCCCAGCCTGGGCCTGAGGGCTGTGGTCAGCTCACAGCTGGGCCTCAGCCAGCCTGCTCTGTCCACCTAGGCCCACAGTGCCTGTGCCCGCCCAAGGGACAAAACCTCATTGTGAGAGCGGCCGCCGTCACGCCCTCCCTGAATGAGAACTGTGGGCACTGACCCTCTCCCTGGGCACTGCGGGCCTGTGACAGGGCACAGCTGGGCTCAGGCACTGACCACCCTCTCCCCTGCGCTGGCTGAGGAGGAGGAAGGGGGTGAGGGAGAGAAGCAGGAGGGAAGCGGCCCATCCAGACACCCCGGCCCCAGTGTTCAGCCCAGCCTGTCCCTGGCCAGCGCTGGGGCACTGTGGCATGGTCTCGAGCCTGGCCTGCTGCTTGTGCTATCATCAGGGGCAGGTGGGTCGACTGGCCTGGCTTGTGTGTGGGTGCTCGGACCTCGGAGGCCCTGGGCCCAGGTGGTCTAGTGTAAGGTGACGGCTTCCTGGGAGGGACTGGGAGGCATTGCAAACAGCTGGGCTGCCTCACGCCAAGGCCCTGGGGCAGGTGTGGGCCAACGACTTAGGGAGCCGAGGTCCTGCCCGGGCCCCCAGCTTAGATGTTGAGACGCCCAGGATGGCCTGGGACCTAGCGCAGGAGTGACTGCCGGCGCAGAGGGACCGGGAGGAGAGGCCGCGGTTGCAGCCCGGAGACGGGCGAAGGTGTGCAGCTGAGGTGGCAGGCAGGGTCCTGGGACGGGCGGCGGGCAGGGGCCTCTCCTGGGAGGCTGGGCCCCGTGCCCGCTCACTGGATCCTGGTCCCTGGTCCCTAGAGCTGCCTTGCTGGACGACCCCGGACCCCAGCCTCAGGGCCCCTCCATCCTGCATAGCCTGGCGCCCGCCCTCCTTGCTGGGGCCCCCACACCGCACCCCAATCTGGCCAGGGAGGGACAGCCGGGGAGGGTGTGCAGGTCACCGGGAGAGGCAGTGGGACGGGTCCTGGGGTTGGGTCCTCGGGTCCAGGGGCGGGGCCAGCGGGCCTGGGGCGGAGTCAGGGCTGGGGGCGGGGCGGGCCGTAGCGGGGGGTGGAGCGCAGGCGGGACGCGGCGGGGCCGAGGCGGGAGGGACGGTCGTCGGTGGCGGCCGTGCGCGCCCGGGCCGGGGTGCAGCGGCGGAGCGGCGGTCATGGAGGTGGTGGACGAGACCGAGGCGCTGCAGCGCTTCTTTGAAGGTGAGCGCCGCGCCGCCCTGGGGACCAGAACCCGCGCAGCCCGGCCGCGCCTCCCAGGGGACGTGGCGACCCCCAGCCCCCCACGGCGGAGGCCCCGAGACCGGGAGCCCCCTCGAGACTGCCCCCGCACCTGGGGCTGGGACTCGAGACTAGAACCTCCTCCGAGACAGTCCCTCGTCCGTCCGGGCTGAGAACCCCTTTGAGACAGTCCCCACCTGGGCCTGGGACCCTCCCACTGCCTTCCAGGGCTAGGTCCTGCTTGAACTGCACCCCCCCAGCGCCCCCGCACAGCGGTATCTGCCCTGGGAACCCCGGAGCCTGGACCGTGCCCCAGACCCACACGCGGCAGGGCTGCGTCCCAAACCTGTCCCCAGCGCCTCCCCGCGGAGTGACCGCCCCTTGCTTTGACCCTGAGCAGGAGCGCTGGGGCGGGACCTACGCACACCTCAGGTGTGTCTCATCCCACGTGGGTTTTCAGGGTCTGCCCTGTGTCTGACCACTTACCTCGCCTGGGCACCCTGGCCCTCCCCAGGGCCAAGTTAGGAGGACAGGGAGGTGCCTCTCCCAGGCCCCACTGCCTCTCAGACCCCCGCTGGGACGTCTGGCCAGGCCCCTGGCCCATTGCCTCCCTCTCCACCACCTTGGGGAGCCCCTACCCCCACTCTCTAAGCCTATGTCCTGCTCCACCATCCCTAGTAGCCTCTGAGCACATCTTGCCAGGGCGGTGGGGCTGCACCCCCAGTTCCTGTGGGAGTCGCTAGGGAAGAGAAGGCCTTTCCTGCCTCGGTTTCCCCAGTCTGATTTGGGGACCAGCCTGGGCAAGGGCATCCCATGCACTGTCTGCTCTGGGATGCCTGGCACCCACCGGACCCAGGCCCCAAGGAGCCAGGTGTGGATGAGGTCATGCGGTCTATGCTGGGTCAGCTGGGCCATTTGGTGGAGCAAAGGACCCTCATCAGCCCCAGGGCCCTTGTTCCTGTTCATCATCCATGGGGAGGGGCTTCTGGAGGCTGGGTTTCCCAGGGGAGGGAAGAGACATAGGTCCTTACCTGGGGTGCTGTTGGGGTGCTGGTAGGTGACCCCATGACCTACAGCCCCTCTTCATCCCTCATTCCTAGGACCCTGGGCCAAACCTTCCCTCCTGGCCCTGGGTGGGGGGCAGGGGCTGACGCCACAGCTCAGCCATGCGGCCGCCTGGCAGGGAGGCTGCAGCTCCTCCAGAGATAAGAGGAGCTGAAGAATGTGGTGGGGAGCAGGGCGGGGTGCGGCGCCCGCCCAGGAGGGCCAGAAGTCTCCAGAGCCTGCGATGTGGGGGGGCACCCGGAGCCGGGGTCCCTGGGCTCCTGGGAGAGGAGGCATGCAGGGGACCCGCCTGAGGTGACAGTATGGGGCTCAGGGTGGGTGATGGAGCCCCAGGACAGTGTGCCGGGAGGGAAGCTGAGCTTGGGGATGTGGCTGCACCGTCCTGGGCTCCTCCTGGTGCCCATGTAGTCTCAGCGTGCACCCTGGACAGGGGCAGAGGCCTCTGGACAGGGAGGGAGCTGGGAAGGGCTCTGGTGTGTGCCCTGTCCTGGTCCTGTCCTGTGGGTGCTGGCGGGGGCTAAGGCGCTTTGTGCCCAGGTAGGAGGCTGGTACAGTGGCCCCCGTGACTACCCGCTAATCCCCTCGAGAGAGGCACCAGCGGCCCAGAGCATGGACACAGGGCCTGTGCAGAGGGGACCCACCGGCAGGATGCACTGGCTGCCAGCAGGTAACGGGTCCTTGTGGCAGGTGACCTGCTGGGCCATGGACTCCAGAGCCAGGCCCAGGACGGGCAAGACAGTGTCGGAGGCTCCCACAGCGGCTGCCCGTGCAGGGCCCTCGCTCTTTCCGGTTCTTGCCTGCAGGCAAGGGTTCCCCGGATGCCTGGGAAGGTGGACATTTTGGGGGACGAGGGCTGGGCCCAGAAGGGGGTGGGTGCTGGGTTGGATTCTAGGGAGCAGCCTGCTCCCCCGGAAAGGTGCTGCCCCTGTCCCCTGCAGGAGACACGGGAGGTTCCTGCTGGGCCCCCACACCCGTGCTCCAAGACCCCTGTCCCAGCCCAGCCCGTAAGCCTCCTCCACCCTGACGCAGGTCCTAGGCCAGGCGGGGAGATGCCAGCGGGGGTCTGACTCATCCACCCAGGGCTCCAGCCCAAGGGGCAGCAGGAACACGCCCAGCCGGTGAAAGCCACAATCGATATTTAGGCAGAGGCCGGAGGGGCATCCCCTCCGGGGTCACACCCAGCCCCACCCAGCCCCACCACAGTCTCTCCTGGTCTGGGGGCTGCAGGGCGAACACTGGAGGTCTTAGGAAGCCCCTGGGGACCTGGCCCTCTCCCACTCCCAGGGCTCCGGCCCAGGCGCCTAGGCTGCCAGGTGACAGCCCACGGGTGCCCATTGGCTGCTGCCCTCGGACTTTGGCCTTCTGATAAGCAGGACAGGAATCATTAACTGAATCATTAACCAGGCACAGCCCTGCCCAGCCAGCCCCATTTCTCCCTCCTCCTCCCCTTGAAGCCCAGTTTGCAGTCAGGGCCTCAGTTTCCCACAAGGCCCGGGTGTGGGGTGTGGCCGGGGACCTGGCGGTCTCCAGCCGGCCCAGGGTGGCGAGTGGCTTTTTGCAGCCTCAATGGGCCCTGGCTCTCGTCTGTAAACTGGGGACACAGTCACTGGGCTGGTGACTCATGCCCACCTCTGGGGGTGCTGTGGGGACCGTAAGACCGTGCCGGCCTGTCAGCTCCACCGGGCTGTCCTCCCGTCCTTCCCAGGGCAGGTGGCACACAGTGCAGCTCTCCAGTCACCCACCCACCCCAGGGCCCTGGATGCCCCAGCTCAGGCTGGGCTGAGAAAGCCCTCGCCCTGTGGTCCCTGATTCCAGGGCCAGGGAACTTGGCAGCTGGTGTGTGTGCTGTGTGGGGGGCCCAGGCCGGGCAGGGCCTGGTCCCCAGCCCACCCCACTCACCCCGGAGTCAGGAACACAGACCTCCGGTCCCCCGAGGGCGGACCTTGGTCCTCCTTTGTCTTGGCCTGGGCTCCTGGGGTGCCGAGGAGAGCAGGAGGTGACCCCTTTCCCAGGGCGGGCCGAGTGGGGAGGGAGGCTGTGGGCGGCCTCAGCAAGCTGACCTGGGGTCCTGGTGAGCATTGGCTGCTGCTAGGTGGCCAGGGCCGATGCGGCCCCACGGTGCCCCTGCCTGGTGGGGTCGGGGCTGTGTGATGTGGCCGTGGCCCTCACACATGTGCGTCTGCTCCCAGCACCAGGCCTGGGGACCCTGCTGGACCTGGGCCTCAGCCAGCACCTGACCTTCCATGGTGCAGTGGATCTGCTGAGTCCTCGTCACCTCCTCTCCCCTGGACAGGACAGTGGCTGGCTGTCCGGCCTGGCCCTGACCCTCGCGCTGGCCTGGCCCGGAACCGGTGCATGGCAGGCGCTCCTGCGGGAGTGTGGAGTGCGTGAGCTTCCACGCCTACCTGCGGGTTCCCGGCCACTGTGCCCCACACTAAGTGGTGCCTGTGCCCCAGGCTGAGAGTATCCAGGGCTGTGGGTTTGGTGTGTGACCAGAGGATAGCACGGCAGCTGTGTGGGGTCCCCAGAAGACAGGTCCCTGCCTGCTGGTGTGTGCACTTCTGCATAGTTGCTGCAGGGCAGGCCTCGAGCAGACAGCTGTGGCCCGGGCTTGAGGTCCAGCCTGCCCGTGCAGCTGTGGGCCGAGCTCCCTGAGAGCCCGGTGCGGAGAGCAGACAGCCAAGGCCCCACTGAGCACCCACCCTGCAGGTCCTGTGGGTAAGGGGTGGGGTCACTCAGCACGGAGTGGGATACTCTGTGGGAGCCAGGCCTCTCGGCTGCAGGGCTCTCCAGGCCCTGTGACAATGCTGACAATGCTGGGCCGGGCAGGGGCTGAGCCCCGCTGCTACCTGGAGCCAGGGCACCCCAGGTCAGCGCCTAGCACCTGGGGAAGAAGGACGCTGGGGGTCGGGCGTGGGCCCCATCCACCCCATGTCCACGTCGCCCGGCCTGGTCAGCACCTGGGCCTGGCCCACCCTGCCCACGGATTTCCGCCATGTTTGGGGCATGAATTGACAAGTGCCCCATTGACGGGGCAGGGAGGGGGCTGCAGGGCACAAGCCTCCCACTGTGTGGCAGCCGCACCCTCGCGCCCCCGGGACAATGGCCGGGACTCAGCAGCGGCCACAGCTGGTGGGGGGAGGGGCCGGGGACACCTGGGCCCCCGCCTGCCAGCAGAGAGGCGGGGCCAAGGCCAGCATCCCACAGCCAGACCCCCCGCCATGGGCAGGCCGGCGTCTGGCTCCTGTCCCCAGCAGGTAATAAAGGGCCAGCCAGTGGCAAGGATCTGGGGCCTGGCTGCCTGGGGACCCTGCCGCTGTCCCCGTGTGACCTGGGGCACACTCTGCACAGATCAGTATCGCACACCTACTCTGTGCAGGGCAAGAGGGCACAAAGGGGCACAGCCCAGCTCCCGTCCCTGGAAGCCATGGACAGGTACCCTCAGCCTGGAAAACAGAGGAGAGGAAGCCACCTGGCCTGTGGGTGAGGTGGGAGGAGGGTGTAGCGTAAGCCACCTAAAGGGATCTTTCCTGGAGAGGCTGCAGCCTGTGCAAAGGCCCTGGGGCAGGGTTGGGGGCACATGCTTGTCCCGGGCTTGAGCAGCAGCCTGGCCCTGGGTTCAGCTGGGGCCATGGGAGTGGCTGCAGGGTGGGAGGCGGGGCCAGAGAGGAGGACAGAGATGCCAGCCCGCATCCCTGTGGGGGTGCTACCTTCTGGTGGTGGGCCAGCCCTGCCCTCTAGGAGTCTAGGCTCCGGAGACGCAGCCCTCCCAGCAATGCGAGACCTGGGCCTCTGGACAGCCACTTAGGGTGCCCTCGAGAACGTACCCTGGTCAGGGACCCTTGTTTCTCATGGGTTGGTGGGACGGGTGGGGCCACTGCCGGTGGCCAGGCCCTCGGTGCAGGGGCAGCAAAGGGCAGCCCAGGCAGCCCACGCCCGCAGGGAGTGGGCGCCCCCCCCCCGCCGCTGTGCCCCTCCCCCACCCAGCGCCGTCCCTGGCACCGGAGGGTCCGCCCCCCACATCTGGATCTCGTTAGGGTCTCCATCCCTCTCACGGGGTGGGCGGGGGATTAGGCGATTAGCTCCTGGGGAGGAGGGAGGAGGGGTCGCGGCCAGCGTCCACCGTCCACCGTGGGCCCCAAGTTCAGCCTCAGCTGCTCCTCAAGTGTGGGCCTAGTGCTGCGCTGTTTAGGGAGACCCAACCCCCAGTCAGTGCGATGCCTCCCTGACCCCAAGTGCGGGTGACTGGGGTGCAAGAGCACTTGTCCCTTTACACCGTCAGTGTCGCCTTTGCCATCGCCAGGGCTGGGGGAGCTGACACTGCCCGCAGGCCCGCGGAGGAGGCCGCGCAGCCAGCCCTGAAGCTGGGGAGCGCTGGCCTCGGGCCTGGCTCGCAGTGGTGCGCAGTGGATGGGCTCTGAGGCTGGGCTCATTCTCGGTGCTAGGGTCCCTTGGGCTTGGTGGGCGTCCCTGTCTGTGGAGGGGGTCAGCCGGAGGCCCTGGGCTGCCCAGGCTCGTGACTCTAGGAGGGCTTAGCTGCTCATTAATCACCTAAGCGGGGCTCAGCATTCTTGAAATGCCAGCTGGGGCCAGGGAGCAGCAGGGCCGGGGACTCTGGGGACCCCGGGCTGGGCTGGGGCTGAGCACCCACTGCCCCAGGCCCGCAGCACCAAGGCCTTCGCTGTGCGCCACCCACTCTCCTACCCGGAGCTGAGGCCCACAGAGGGAGACACGGCACCCTCTCACCCAGAGCTGGCTCTGCCCCGGGGCTCCCCAGAGGGTGTGAGGCACAGACCCCCGAGCTCGAGGCCCATGCGAGGGTCCTTCCTGCCTAGTGGGGCCACCAGCCCAGGCCAGCGGCGTGGGAGGGACTGTCCTGCACTGTTGGGGTGACGCATCTCCAACGTCAGCCTGCTTATCACCCGCCCTCGGGCTCCCCCCGCAAGGTGACCCTGGTGGGGAAGGGCTGGCGCCACACCTCCCTGCCCTCATGGGCCAGGGCCAGTGGGGAGGGCTCGGGAGGAGCAGAGCCAGCGCTGCGTCCCCTGGGTGAGCCAGGCCCCGCCTCCTGGGGACCAGAGCCCTGTGGGCACTGGCGGGTGCTGCCGTGCCCACCTCCCCAAAGCTGGGGTGGCTGTGGGCCCCCACCCTGGGCTCCCCTGATTGTGGCCCCGGGCTGTGGACTGTCATGAAGCACTCACTGCTCCCCGGTGCTCCCCGCAGCTCACAGGGCTGGGCGCCTGCATCTCACTGGGATGGGGTGGCGGGGCACGAGTGACCTCCCTGCCCCCAGTCTGCACCCTGGGCCTGTCCTGTCACCTCCTTGGGCTAGGGACGTTTCACCCCGCATCCCGGTGGGGCCGAGGGTGGACAGCAGGCCCCTGAGAGGGCAGGAGGGTGGCACTGGGGTCTCAGGGAGCCTGCCCAGCCCAGCCCTGCCCGCAGGCCATGACATCAACGGCGCCCTGGAGCCGTCCAACATCGACACCAGCATCCTGGAGGAGTACATTGGCAAAGAGGACGCATCCGAGCTGTGAGTCGCCCTGGGAGCCCCGACCGAGCTCGCCCTTCCACCGGCCGCCCGCCTGCTGAGCCTGCTCCCTCTCCGCAGCTGCTTCCCTGACATCTCCGCTCCCGCCGGCTCGACTTCCTACCCCCACGGGCAGCCTGCCGTCCCTGGCTCCAGCGGGGGCCACCACCTGAGTCCTCCGGCTGGCGGACCCTCCCCAGGGCGCCACGGTCCCCTCCCACCCCCAGGCTATGGCGCCCCGCTCAACTGTAACAACAACAACGGCCTGGGCGCTGCCCCCAAGCCCTTCCTGGGGGGCTCCGGGACCCCCATCAAGGCGGAGCCCAAGGCCCCCTATGCCCCAGGGTGAGTGGGGGGGCAGGGCAGGGATGTGGGGCTGAGGGGTGGGTGGGCTCCCCAGGTCCTCAGCGGGGTGCACGGCTGACCGCCCTGTGTGGCGCGAGCCTCCGAGCCACTGTCTTCCGAAGAGGCCTCCCCGCCCAGCCCCGTCTCTCTGAGTGACCCCGGGACGGGCCCAGCACTGCGGTGCCCGCCATGCTCCTCGGAGGCACCTGGGGCTAGGTCAGGGGACCCCCGAAAGTGAGCCCCGAATTGCCCAGTCCGGGTCACAGAGAAGCAGCATGGGGTGCTGGGGATGCAGCCACCCGCACCTGCTCAGCAGGGTGCTCCGAGCCCGGGCATCGGGGCTGGGCGGAGGCTGCGCTCAGGTGTGGGGCTGCTTGAAGCCCTGGTGCTGTCCCAGGGCTGGGGCAGAGGGAACAGTGCTGAGCCCCAGGAGCGCGGCCGGCTGGGGCCTGGCTGTCAGCAGGGGTCCGGGCGCAGCTGGGACCCCTTGAGGGTGTTCCCGACGCCTCCGAGAGGGGGCTTGTGCAGGTCCAGTTGGGCACGCGGGCCCAGGCGTGGCCCTGTGGGCTCGAGGCAGGGCAGGGGTGCTGGCGCCCAGGGCTCCCCTCCAGCGCTACACACAGCCCCACGGCCAAAGCGAGGATGGGGAAGCAGAGGGCCTGCCAGGAGGCTCAGGGAGCCGGGCTGTGGTGTGAGTGCCCTCAGGGACGGGGTCCCAAGGCTCGGGGGCCGGGCCAGGCTGTTCAGCTGCCGGCCGGAGCCACTGGAGGGTGTGGGCTGCGACCTCAACACTCTCCTCGGCTCCCTCACCAGACCTTCCCCGGGCCACGTTCGCTGTCTTCGCTGTTGCAGTGCTGGGGATGGAAGGACTCCCAGCCCTCTTTGTTTCTTATTCTGAGGCAGGGTTTCACTAAGTCGCTAAGTTGCCCGGGCTGGGCTCAAACTTGCAAACCTCCTGCCTCGGCCTCCCGGTGGCTGGGGCTGTGGGCAGGCGGCAGTGCACCCGACTGCAGGGTCTGCTCGCTCCACACACAGGCGGATGGGTGGCTCGTCCAGGGACACTGGGGCTCTGCAGTCAGTGCCGGGCCGTGTGCAGAGGGCTTGTGGGCGGCCCGGAGGGGGCTCTCCAGACGAGGGACAGGGATGGCCAAGGAGCCAGACCCGAGTGAGTGGCCACGGCCTCCCCTTGCTGGCCGTGCAGGACGTGTTGACCTCGGGGCCTGCGTTTGTTCTTGCTCCCAAGCCACTGATAAACACCCCTGGTGAGGAAGAAGTTGGCCAGGCCCTGCGGAGCTGGCACCCTGCCCGGCCCGCACCTGCCTCTGGGGGGCAGCCCCGAGCCCCAGCCTCCCCTGCTCCGCCCCTGAGGCCCACGGACCCCCAGGGCTGCCGGGCAAGCTGGGTGTGGGGTCCTTAGGCACCATGGGGTCCACAGAGACCCTGTAGTCTGGGGCCGGGAACCCCAAGGCCCCCAGCCCCACTTCAGGCCCAGGGCTCGCTGGGCACACCAGGGCGGGTGGCAGAGATGACACCACGGAAGGAGGTGCCTCTGGTGCCTGGGTGCCCCAGCACTGCCAGCTTGAGGCCCAGAAGCCCCCTCTGGCCCCACAGCGTGCTGCCCGACTCGCCCCCCGACTCGGGCTCTGAGGCCTACTCCCCCCAGCAGGTGAACGGTGAGTCGGTCCGCCAGCGCCCGGGCTGGGCAGCCTTATCGGGAGGGCGGGCAGGCAGGAGGCGGGTGGGGGCCGGGGCTGCCCAACGGCCAGATTATCGCTGGTCAAACACTCCCCAGCCTGGCCATTGTTTCCCCGCGGGCGGGTGGGGAGCTGGGCCGTCTCTGTCTCCAGCCAGTGTCCCCGCCGGGGATGCCGCCCGCCCGGCCGCCCGAGCCATCATGGACGCACCCTTCGGTGGTAAGTGGGCCAGGCAGGGCCTGCTGCGGGCCCACCGCGCCTGCCTGCCTGCGGGGAGCAGCGGCCCGCAGGTGGCCAGGCGGAGTGACCCTGGCAGCCTGGGAGGGGTCAAGAGTTCTGTTTATCTTACCAAACATGCCTGGAATGCCTGCCGGGAACAAAGGGGGCTGCAGCCTCCTGGGGAGCAGGCAGGGGGAGCCAGGCCCCTGGCACTGTTGGGACCAGGCTGCTGCGTGGGGGGCTCCGGCCGAGGATGGGTCTGAGAGGAGCTGGGGGAGGGCGCAGGTCGGATGGTGGGGGACTGCCCAGCCCGCATGGGCCTGCTGTCCTGTCCCGCCAGCTCTGGTGGCCGGAAGCAGCAGGTGGGCCTGGGAGCAGGGCGAGGCCGCTCTCCACTCCTTCCTCGCAGACCCCCGCCTGCTGCGGACGATCACCCCAGAGACCCTGTGCCACGTGGGGGTCCCCTCCCGCCTGGAGCACCCACCCCCGCCCCACTACCCCGTGTTGCCGCGGGACCTGTATCTGAAGCCCGAGCCCCTTGTCCCACCCTACACGGCCATGGGCCAGGGGCTGCTGCCCGGCGAGCTCCACCACACCCCACAGCCGCAGATGCTACACCAGCTGTTGCAGCACGGAGCAGAGTGAGGCCCAGGCCTGGGGGCACAGGGTGGAGAAGGGGGGCCGGCAGGGCCAGGGCACAGATGGGTAAACTGAGGTCTGAGAGGGGGAGCTGGGACTGAGGCAGGGCCAGGCCTTAACCTGGACCCCAGGGGCTGCACCTGCTAGTTGGCCCTCATCTGTGTTTCTGTTGAAATTTTATCATCAAGCTGGGCATGGTAACGCACGCCTGTGATCCCAGCACTGTGGAGGCTGAGGCAGGAGGATCACCGTAAATTCGAGGCCAGCTTGGGCTACATAATGAGACCCTGTCTTAAAAACACCAAAAAAGAACATTTTTTTTCATTGATTTTGTTCAAGGAAAGATGCTACTGTCAAAGGCCATTGTAGACGGAAGGGCGGGGAGCCATGTAGGCCCGGAAACCCCAGCCTGCATGGCCCAGGCCTCTGTGACTGGTTCTGACCCAAGCACCCCCACAATGCCCCTAAGGAAGGGTGTTCGGACCCTGGGCAGGGGTGACGGACAGTGTGTGGCCCAGAGGGGTCCTCCAGGCTGGGCAGGCTGGGCGCTGCCCAGGAAGGGGCTTGGGAGAAGCCGGGCCCATGGCGCACCCTGTGTCCCCCAGGCCCCCCCCGCACCCCTCCAAGAAGAGGAAGCACTCTGAGTCGCCCCCCAACACCCTCAGCGCCCAGATGCTGAACGGCACGATCAAGCAGGAGCCGGGCACTGTGACCGCGCTGCCCCTGCTCCCCGCCCGAGCCCCGTCGCCGTCCTGGCCCCCACAGGGCCCCCTGTCCCCGGGCCCCAGCTCCCTGCCCCTCAGCATTGCCCGGGCACAGACCCCGCCTTGGCATCCTCCTGGGGCGCCCTCCCCAGGTACTCAGCCGGCCAGCCCTGGGGGTGGGGAGCAGCTGAGCCCCGGCCACATGGGTGCCCCCCTGCAGGTCTCCTGCAGGACAGCGACAGCCTCAGTGGCTCCTACCTGGACCCCAACTACCAGTCCATCAAGTGGCAACCCCACCAGCAGAACAAGTGGGCCACTCTGTACGATGCCAACTACAAGGAGCTGTGAGTCACCGTGCCCTGTGTCCTAGAGCAGGGGGCACTGCCACTGCAGAGCGGGACCCTCAGACTCCCGGGGAGGCGCTGTGTGCCTGAGGGCGGGCCCAGGTCAGGAGGAAGTGGCCCTGTGTACGCCGCCGCCTCCTCCCCTGCATTCCAGGAAGATGGCGAAGCCCAGGGTTCCTGGCCCTGCCCATAGCCTGCTCCCCGCCAGGAGGAGGACGGGCGCGTTGGCAGAGGTTTCCCGGGGGCATTCCTGGCCCTGCACCGACACCCAGGCTGTGGGTGGACCACTCCCCTGCTCTCCCAGAGGTCCAGATGGCGGAGAGGGCAGCTGGCTTCCTCCCTTTGACAGGGCCCCGCCCTGGCAAGGTGGCCTCCTGCCGCTGAGTACCCTGGGCTATGTGATTCCCAGCTGGAAGCCCCAGGGCCAGCAGGGGCCCAGCTGCTGTGCCAGTTCAGTAGTCCCTCGAAGTGGGGCCTGAGTGAGGGCAGGTCCTGGGGGAGCCCCTCTTCCCTCCATGCTCCTCTGGCCGATCCTCCTGACAGGCCCAGGCCTGGCGGCTGGGGGAGCTGAGTCCCTAAGGTGGCCCACTTCCTTGCTGTCCTGCTAGGGGCCCAGAGGAAAGACGGGTGAGCCAGGCTGAGGCCTCCCGACCGAGCAGAATGTGTGCCCCCACCCACTAAGCGTCCCTGTGGCCAGTGTGAGGGGCCAGGGCAGAGGCAGTAGTTGCCTTCTGCGTGGCCACCTGGAGCTCCCCTGCAGGCACCACCCCAGGGACACCGCATCCGCCGTGGATGGGCCTTGCTCTGGCAGGGTTCGCGGGAGAGCCCCAAAACGCCTCTCCCTGCCGGCAGAGCGGGAGTCGGGGGCTGGGCCCGTGGGAGCCTGTGCCTGGACCCACGGTTCCCATGGCAACTGGCTGTCAGGCCCATGAGGCTCTGCAGATGCAGCCCCCGGCCTACTCCCCTCCCGGAGGCCGGTCACAGTGGGGGCTGTGAAGCACCTCGAGCTCCTCCATCGGGGGGCCTCGGGTCTCGCCCGCATCCTGTCCCTGGCACATGTAAAGAAGTATGTGTGCGAATATTCGTGGGGACTCAGTTTCTGTTTCTGACATGCCAGCTCCTCACTGCAGGAGGGTCTTGGGGTACAGGGCAGGGCACATGGGGGCCCCCAGGACTCCTGAGTGCCATCACTGCCCCAGGCCTATGCTCACCTACCGCGTGGATGCCGACAAGGGCTTCAACTTCTCCGTGGGTGACGATGCCTTCGTGTGCCAGAAGAAGAACCACTTCCAGGTCACAGTGTATATCGGCATGCTGGGCGAGCCCAAATTCGTGAAGACGCCCGAGGGCCTCAAGCCGCTCGACTGCTTCCACCTGAAACTGCATGGAGTGAAGGCAGGCTGGGCCGGGGGGCGGGGGCCCGGGTGTGCTGGCTTCCCAGGGACCCCCTCTCCGGAGACCCCTCCCTCAGCTGCCTCCTCCCGAGCCTGCTGCTCCCTGGGTCCCAGCTCCCCTCTTGGCCTGGCCTCGCCTGGAGCCTCTCCCCACGACGGCCCCTCGGCCTCCCCTGCCCTCTGTCACTCAGGAGCCCACAGCCTGCCACCTCCTCCTGAGACCCTGGTGCCCCCCGGCACAGCCACAGCTTCGAGGGGTCCTGGGCCCACGCTCACTCCACCTGCCTGCCCCTTTGTAGCCTCTCATGGGCTCCCTGTTCCCCAGGGTGCCCCCCAGGCCCGCTGTGAGGCCGGGCACGGGTCGGGCACCCCCAGGCCTGGGTGCGTGTCCGCTATGCATGTGGGCCCAGGCAGGCGCCTGCCCTGAGCCCTCTGTGTCCCCAGCTGGAGGCCCTGAACCAGTCCATCAACATAGAGCAGTCGCAGTCTGACCGCAGCAAGCGGCCCTTCAACCCCGTCACGTGAGTCTGTCCCATCAGGCCCGGTGCCACCCATGGTGACCCACTGCATGCTTCTGGCCTGGCTGGGCAGCCCCCTCCCTGCCCTGAGCAGCTGCCCCTCTGCAGGGTCAGTCTGCCGCCCGAGCAGGTCACCAAGGTGACCGTGGGGCGTCTGCACTTCAGCGAGACCACCGCCAACAACATGCGCAAAAAGGGCAAGCCCAACCCCGACCAGAGGTGAGGCGGGGCCGGCCGGCCTGCTGCTTCGAGGGCCGATCCAGGGGGTGGGGGGTGGCGGGGCAGACGCCTGCTGCCTGCCCCTGTGGACGCGCAGGTCCTGCCCTCGGTGCCCGAGCGTACTGACCCCATGTGTCCAGGTACTTCATGCTGGTGGTGGCGCTCCAGGCCCACGCGCAGAACCAGAGCTACACGCTGGCCGCGCAGATCTCGGAGCGCATCATTGTGCGGGTGAGGCGGCCTGCGCCCTGGGCTGCCGGGGGGCGGGGGGCGGTCCTGGCCTGGGGTCCCCTCACTCAGGGTGCAGGTGGAGGGGACCCGAGCCTCCTGGGAGTTGTCCCCGCGGGCAGGACGCCTTCCGCTGGGCAGCAGGTGAGGGGCCGGGCTGCTCTTGCAGAGGCGGCCTGGGGCCCCCCCTCCCCCAGGCCCTGCCTGTTCCCACCTCCCAGGAATGACCCAGCCCCAACTTGACCTAGGCTTCCAACCCAGGCCAGTTTGAGAGCGACAGCGACGTGCTGTGGCAGAGGGCGCAGGTGCCCGACACCGTCTTCCACCACGGCCGCGTGGGCATCAACACCGACCGGCCGGACGAGGCGCTGGTGGTGCACGGCAACGTCAAGGTCATGGGCTCACTGCTGCACCCCTCGGACCTGCGCGCCAAGGAACATGTGCAGGAGGTGGGCAGGGGCAGGTGGGCGGGGCAGGTGGGCGGGGCCATGCGGGCGGAGGCGGGAGGCAGGGTCTCCTGTCCACGCCCAGCCCGGTCCGCCTGCCCTGCCACGCTCAGGCTGGCCGTTCCCCAAGGTGGACACCACAGAGCAGCTGAAGAGGATCTCGCGCATGCGGCTGGTGCACTACCGCTACAAGCCGGAGTTCGCCGCCAGCGCCGGGATCGAGGCCGCGGCGCCCGAGACTGGTAGGGCCTGGCACCCTGATCCAGGGGTTCCGCTGCTGGCCTGGGACCTGAGCCCTTGACCCAGGAGTCCAATTCCTGGCCCCCACAGTGTGGCCCCGTTTTCTGGGACCCCGCCCCTTCTCCCGGGACCCACTTCCAGCGCCCCCCACACCCCGCATCCCAGCGAGCATCTGTCTGGCTTCGCAGGTGTCATTGCCCAGGAGGTGAAGGACATCCTGCCCGAGGCCGTGAAGGACACGGGGGATGTGGTCTTTGCCAATGGGAAGACCGTAGAGAACTTCCTGGTGGTGAACAAGGTAGGCGGGTGCTGGGGTCCCGGCGCAGAGGGGCCCAGACCCCGTCCGCTGGGGCACACGCGCCCCTGGCTACACTGACCCTGCGGGGCAGAGGCTGAGTCGCACTGCCTCTGGGCGCCGTGGGTGCACGCTGACGGCTGGCCCACAGGAGCGCATCTTCATGGAGAATGTGGGCGCCGTGAAGGAGCTGTGCAAGCTCACAGACAACCTGGAGACACGCATCGATGAGCTGGAGCGCTGGAGCCAGAAGCTGGCCAAGCTGCGGCGCCTCGACAGCCTCAAGTCCACCGGCAGCTCAGGCGCCCTCAGGTGGGCACAGTGGCGGCCGGGAGGGCGGGCAGTCCTGGGGGAGCCCGCGCTGGGGCACTCGGGGCCCTCACCTGGCCCTCCCCGCAGCCACAGCGGCAGCCAGTTCAGCCGGGCAGGCAGTGCCCCCCACAAGAAGAGGCCCCCTAAGGTGGCCAGCAAGGTGAGTGGCAGGCTGGGGGCAGCCGACTCTGGGCTCCTCCCTGCTCTCTGCCCCAGAACGGGGGGCCGCAGGCCGCCTCAGTCCCTCTTCCGCTTCTCCCTCCTCCCTGCTCAGTCATCCTCAGTGGTCCCTGACCAGGCCTGTGTCAGCCAGCGCTTCCTGCAGGGAACCATCATTGCCCTGGTGGTGGTCATGGCCTTCAGGTGACACCCCGGGGCCCTGGGGGCGCGGCATGGGAGGTGATGTGGCCAAGGTCTCCAGGGAAGGGGCTGCCCTGTGCCGACCCCTGGGGAGCTGGCCAGTGGCTCTGGCTCTGACAGTCACCCATCCTGTGGCTGCCAGCGTGGTGTCCATGTCCACCCTGTATGTGCTGAGCCTGCGTGCCGAGGAGGACCTGGTGAGCACCAACGGGTAGGTCTGGGGTCGGGCTGGGCAGAGTGGGAGGCCCGCTGGGGTCCCCGTTGACTCAAGGTCTCTCGGGCTGCTCAGTGCTCCGGGGGCAGGGGGAGGCCAGGGTGCAACCCGGCCGTCACTGCCGTCGCCCAGCTCCCAGGCCGCCTCTGACTGTCTGCTCTCTCCTCGTGCCTGTCCCCTCTCGGCCTCTGTTGCACTTAGCTATCTTGCGGTGCCCACGTCCTGTCTCCTGGCCCTGCTTCGCCCCCAGCGTGCTGGGGGGAGTGAGGCCTTGTGCCTTTGGTACGTGGGACCCTCAGCCCCTGTCCCACCTCCTTCCCACCGTCGTCCTCCCGTCTGCCCAGGCCCCGGCCCTCCCCTCGGCCCACAGCCCTGAGCTCCCCTGCCTTCCCCAGCAGGTCCAGCCAGAGCTTTGGGACCACGAAGCTCCGCCAGTTGCCCATGACCACTGGGGTAGCGGGCATGCAGCCCTCCCTGCTGCTGGGTGCGTGCCGGGCTGGGCTGCTGGGATGGGAGGTGCAGGGCCCACGTCCTGGGCTCATCAGACCCCCCCTTCCTCAGTGACCCCCAGCCCGAGCCCCGTGGCCCCGGTTCCAGCCGTCCGAGCTTTGGACCTGTGCTCCAGCCACCCCTGCCCTGTCATCTGCTGCACCACCCCCAGCCCCAGGCCCAGCCCCAGCCCGGCCACCAGCCACTCAGGTACGGGCCTGGGTGGGGGGCCAGCACAGAGGAGGGCCTAGATCTGTGGGTGGAGGGGCCTTGGGGCCCAAAGCATGGACCATAGGAGGCCTGGGGAGGCACCCTGAAGGGGCCCAGGACAGTGGGCTCAGCGACCTTCAGGCTGACACGGGCCAGTGCCCTCCTCACTGCCCCGGTTCTGTCCACAGGCCCCAGCCAGGTGGCCCCGCTGCCAGTCACTAACATCAGAGCCAAGTCCTGGGGTATCTCGGCCAATGGCATCAGCCACACCAGGCACCCTAAGGGCATGGAGCCTGCAGCCAGCCCTGCTGTCCCTTTTCCTGGGGGGCCAGGCAAGGCCAAGAACAGCCCCAACCTCGGGCTCCGCGGCCGGGCCCGCCGAGGGGCACCCCCACTCAGCCCCTCTGGGACCCAGGGCCAGCCAGGTACCTGCCTCCCTGACACTGCCAGCCAGGCCCGCAGGCCCTGTGGCCGGGTCACACGGTGCCTGGCACAGGGCAGCCACAGTGGACATGGGGCATATGGGGGTCAGGGTCTTTGTCGTCCCCTCAGTGGCCTCCAGGAAGGCTGCTGGCCCCACCGTCCAGACAAGGACGGCGAGACATCGGGGAAGGGTTTGCCAGGGCCAGACAGCCTGGGTGGAACTCGCGCCCACTCTGCCCAACTCCCTTGTCACTGTGCCAGGGTGAGAAAGGCACTGTACAGGGTCCTCCAGCGCTCTAACCTCAAACCTTCAGAGGTTTTAAAACGTTTCATTTTCTTTTTGTAGTACTTGCTGATTGAATCTAGGGCCTTGACACTGAGCTCCATCCCAGCCCTTTTTATGTCTTCATGGGGTCTCACTAAATCACTACGTTGTCCAGGCTGGGCTGGAACTCGTAATCCCTCTGCCTCAGCCTCCCGCAGTGCTGGAATTCAGGTGTGCACCGCCATGCCCAGGCTCCTGAGCGCCTGTCACTGCAGAGGCTCTCAAGCTGGGCTCCGGAGGTGCCCTGGGGGCGTGGGCCCGTAGCCCTGCACGGACATGTGAGCCTCTTCACCTCCACTAGCGAGCTCGTGGCTTCTAGAGCAAAAAGGCTCAGACGGTGCCTTGCAGAGGCTGAAGTTCAAAGTGACGGGAACCGGGTGGGGGCTTCCTGGGCCGGGGCCTACAGGCAACCGAGACGGACACTGCTGCCCCAGCCAGCTCAGAGATGGACACCAGTGGTGGCGAGAATCCAAGGGGACAGGACTGGGGGGCTTCAGAGGACACGCAGGGGCCCCCGAAGTGGGAAGGGCACCTGCCCCGGGCTGCACAGGGCACCCTCAGTCCTTTAGGGTCCGTGGTCTGGCAGGGGTTGAGACCAGTGGCCTGGTGCCCAGTCCCAGATCACAGGAAGGGCCTGTCCCCCAGCCAGCGTGCTGGGGCCTGGTGGGGAGGGTTCCAGCAGGCTCCTGGGTGGGGACAGCTGCAGTCTGCAGTGCTCCCTGCGTGGTGCCCACAGCTGCTGGTGCAATGCTGAGGGGCGGAGTGGAGGCCTGGCTGCTTCCGGGCCAGGGTTCTGGTTCTGCCGGCAAGGGGGTGCGGTGCGACCCTGGCCATCTGAGCCACCACACTGAGGTGCGTGCTGAGAGGCCTGGCGGGAGGCTGCCGCCCTCGCCCGGCCCCAATGGCCTCTCTTCCTGCAGACCCAGTGCCCTCCCTGACCTCCATCCAGGTGCTGGAGAGCGCGATGCCCATCACCTCCCAGTACTGCGCCCCCGAGGATGCCTGCAGGTGGGCCGCGCCCAAGCCCGGGTCTCTCCCTCCGGGCAGGGCAGCCCCTGCTAGGCCTGGCTGAGCCGCCCTCTGCCCCACAGGCCCGGGAACTTCACCTACCGCATCCCAGTGAGCGGCCGCACCCCACTGCACCTCAGGCTGACCCTGCAGATGAAGTAAGCACCGTGCGGGAGCCGGAGCCGGACAGTCAGAGGGCCGGGGGTGGGCTGGGCAGGCACAGGCTCTCCCCCAGCTCACTGTGCTCTCCCTCAGCTCCTCTGCCCCCGTGTCCGTGGTGCTGTGCAGCCTGACGGCGGCCGCGGAGCCATGTGAGGACAGGGGTGTCCCGCAGAGCCCCCGGACGCCCTGGGACACCCAGGTGGGAGCAGCAGGAAGCGGTGGCCAGCAGCCCGACCCTCTTCCCCGGACAGTTCCCCGAGCGGCTGAGGAGCGGGAGCCGGTGTCAGATGCAGAGGTCCCCACGAGGGACGGCCTGGGGACAGTGCGTCTCCACTGGCTCTGCTCGCTGCTGGTGCCCCTGCTGCACAGGGGCCAGGCTGGGCGCGTCAGTGAGACTGCGGTTGGCAGGGTGACCTGAGGGCCAGAGCCCTGGGCTCCGGGCCTGGTCCCGTCCAGCGCCTCCCTGGCCAGGCCTGTACACTGGGCCAATGGCCTAGGCCACAGAAGGGGGAGCCGCTGCCCGTTTACTGTCTGCTCGGCAAGGCCCCTGGGCCTCTTGCCAGGCCCTTGCTCCCACTGGTGGGACAGAGGTGGGACACAGGCTTCCGCCTCCAAGGACGGACTGTCTTCAAGGGGGAGGGGCTGTGTGGAAAGCAGAGGGAGTGGGTGAGAGCAGAGGGACAGCCCAGCCAGCACGTGCCGGACGCCACAGCAGAGCCGCAGCGGGAGGTGGGCACACAGACCCAAGCACCAGGCTGGGAGGGTGTGCCAGGCAGATGGGTGTGGGCCCCTGCTCTCCATGCCGTGCGACCTAGGCCAGTGGCTGTGTCCTCACCTGTAACAGGGAGCGGGCTAGCAAGCGGCCCGCGTGCCTGCAACAGGGTGCGAGACAGGGCCTGGGCAGTGTGGACAGGGAAGGCAGCGGCCACAGTGCCCACCTCTCTGAAGATGCAGGCTGCTCTGGCCATGGGGCTGTGGTGGCCCAGAGGTGGCAGGGATGGGCTGCGGCTGCTGACCCAGTGCCCTCCTCTGCAGGGCACCTCCCACCAGTGGCCGCTCACCATCCTGCCCTCCCGAGAATTCACCTACCACTTCCGTGTGGCGCCGCAGGTGAGTGTGGGCCCCGCCTGCGCCCAGGACCCAGGTTCCACCTGTGCAGCGGGGCTGGGAGGGGCAGAGGCCTCTGCTGAGCACTTGGCAGGGCTAGCAGGGGTGTCACCTGCCCTGTGTCCTGAGCTCTTGCTGCCCTCCCCCAGGGTCAGGCCAACTGCAGCTCGGAGGCCGGGCCGGCTACAGACTACTACTTCCACTTCTACCGCCTGTGCCCCTGAGCGGTGGAGGTGGCCACGCGGGGCCCTGAGCCGGGCCCTCCTCGCGGACGCAGTGTTACACTGGAGCTGGCAGCCGGTGGCTGTGCAGAGCCTCACAGGACCAGAGTCTTCACCCTGGCGCTGCTGCCTGCTGCCACCTCCCCACCCGGGTGGGGCCAACCCCACCACAGCGGCCTCTCGGCCCCACTCAAAGTCCTGCTGGGGCTGGACAGCGACAGCCCAGGGACTCTCCACGATGTGACTGTTACGCTGGGCCTGGACCCTAAGCTCTAAGTGTGGCCTAGAGGATGCCTGGACAGCTGGCACCCGTGCCTTATGCCACCCTCAGCCCACCACAGCCTGAGCCGGGCCGGGAGCCTGGGGCATCCTGAAGGGAACCCGCCCTTCTGAGCAGAGGAGCAGGCTTCCCTGCCAGCAGTGGGGACAGCTGGGGTGCACGTGCTAATGCTGCAGTTACTGCCCCGGCGACGACTCTCCAATGGGGTTGGGCTGGACAGCATGGGGTGACCCCTGCAAAGAGAGGCCCTGGCACTGCTCCCTCCAGCCCCAAACCCTGGCTTTTCGGCTGTCCCAGGCTGATGGCACCCACTGGTGGCAGCTCCCTAGCCCAGTGCAGAGGCAGGAGTGGGTCAGAAGTCTGAGTCCCAGTGGTGCCTGGAGCACCCAGCCTTGCTGCACGGTGTCCTGTGCAGTGCCCCACAGGGCAGCCTCTGGTAAAGCCCGTAAGATGAGAGGCCTTCCGCGGCCCTCAGAGCACTTACCTTGGGGATGGGGGTGCTGGACCCACCCTCATCCTGACAGACCCGAGTCCTGTGTGCGGAAGGGGAACTCCTGTCCTGCCCAGCCCTCCAGGGCTTCCCTGCCAGTGCCTTGTAGCTGCCAGGCCCCGCTCCTGGGCAGGACTCTGGGGCTCTCTGTGCTGGGGGCACGGGAGCTTGGACTGGGGCCCTTCAGCCCTGAACTGGAAAGTGAGCCGCCTCTGCCCCTGGGTCCCTTCGGCAGCTCGCACTGCCTGAGGTGTGAACACTGGACCAAAGGTGCCCTAGCCCTGGGTACAGAGGGGTGGGCCCCCTCCCCCTGCCCGTCCTGTGGCGGCAGCTAAACGTCCCCTTGCTTCGGCTGTACACAGGGCTTCCCCAGCGGACCCTGCCCACCCACCCAGCAGCCTGCGCTGCGCCGCCCTCCACTTATCTCCCACCTTCTTATATTTATCGTGCACCCACTCTGGGCCCGCTTGCTGTCCCCAGGTTGCCTTTTCTTCTGAAGTACATATACATGTATAAATAAATGTCCAACACTGCCTTGTACCCCAGCTTGCTTCCCGGGCTCTTCCTGAGTGCTCTGGTGGGAGAGGGGGCCCCGTGGGCCAGGAGCAAGGAGGTCTCACTGTGGATGGTGCTTTGTACTCACTCTCGGCCTCACGCTGGCTGCATCTCCGGGCCACCTCCCCTGCCCATGCTCCTACCACTGCCGGCCTGGCCATCTGGATGGCAAGGACACTGGGCAGCCGAGCCTGGTGAGGGCATGCTGTGCCCGGGGAGGGGCCCCACCCAGAGAGGGTGGCTGCGTTACGGACAGGCTGCCCAGGCGGAGGGGCTGGCGTGGGCTCCTAGACAAGCGTGTTCTAGGGGCGAGAGAAGGGAGCCCGGGCCCCAGCCCACAGGTCACTTCTGGCAGCAGGAGCCATGTGAAGGGCGGCTGAGGAGCAGGAAGGGTGCAGGACAGCACTGTCACACATCTGCCTTTATTGCGAGAGCAGCAGGAGGGACACTCAGCAACAGTAAAAAATTAATTTACAAAAGCAGGCATTCAGTGAAGCCACTTGGGGTACCTGAAAGAGGACGAGAGTGTGAGGGCCAGACTGAAGCCCCTTCTTCCCTCCTCTCCCCGAGGCCCTCGCTGCCAGTGGGGGCCAGAGCACAGGCCCATGACACTTCTGAGGGTGGGTCACGTGCAGCCAGCTTTGTCCGAAATCCCACCCAAGTCACTGGTGTTAACACCCTCGCCACCTCCCCCCCAGTGATCCCAGAGCTGGAGGGGGCGGGACAGTGCAGAGAATGCAGCACTGAGCAGCTTCACGCCCCCAGGAGGGCAGGGGGGCTCGTGTGGCTGCACCCGGAGGCTGGAGTGTCCCGCCCACCACAGCTCTTACCAACTCATACGTAGATGCCAACCCAGAGCAGCAGGAAGAGGACGCCAAAGCCCATGAAGAGCGAGGCCACCAGCGAGATGAGGAGCTCTTTGTAGATGTCCCTCGTGTACTTGGTGGAGGTGACCTCGTAGCTGGGCGAGCTGTTAAGGAGAGGCAGGTGGACTTCGGAGTGCAGGGAGCTGCCGGTGGCACTCAGGGTAGGAAGGTGTGAGCGGAGGGCTCCCCAGCTTGGTGCAGCCCGGGAGAGGCCACGGACGCTGCTCCCCACACCACCCCCGCCCGCCCACGGAGAAGTGAGGCCCACTGCGAGCAGGCCACATGCTGGGTCACAGCTCACAGTGACAGAGCTGGGACTGCCCTCAGACCTCTGGCCCTGGGCACAGCCTTCCTCACTCCACCTTCCCAACCTCAGCTTGGCCCCAGCTCCGGTCTGAAGAGCCAACTGAGCTCACCTGAACTGGAAAAGACAGCTATGCTTGCCCCTGGGCACTGCCAGCCTTGTCCTGCTCCCAGTGCAACATACAAAACTGGCAGGGTTCAGGATCCCAGCAGTTCCTCCCTCCATTGCCTACATCACTCACAGCCTACTGGCTGCTCAGAAAAGGATACACGAAGAACCAGGCAGTGAAGAACATGCCAATGGCCAGGAGCACCACAGTCAGATGGGGGAAGACAGCTGGGTTCACAGGGCTGGTGTATCTGCTCATGGCCTCGAGCTCCTAGGGGAAGCGTGAGGTCAGTCACCCAAGAAGCCCATGAATTCACCCAGAGCACCGGAGCCCCCTGTGCTGCTTGACTGACAGGGGCCATTTCCGCCTGGGAAATGTAGAAATCCTTCAGAACCAACAGCTCGTGGTCCATCATGGGAATGACCATTACAATTACATCTTCAAGAACGTGGCACCGTCTCTAGAAGGGCAACCGACGAGACTGCAACACAGGTGACCAGCAGAGCAATGGTCCTTAGCCATCTTTGAGGCCGATGGCCACTACCAAAAGGTGAGGAAAGCTGTGGACTCTGCCCAGGAAAAACCGCAGAGAGGAAAAAGCTCCCCTGTAACTTCTGGAGCCTGCAGACCTGTGTCTACAGACTGCAAACCCCTAATCCCTGCCATAATCCCAGACCTCAACTTCCAATTCAGTATTATTCTCACCACACAATTCCGGAACCTCAGGGTCTACAGGTAGAAGACCTTCATCAGTTAAAATTTGGGCTCCGCTGAATAACCTGAGCCCAAGTAAAGAGGACACAACGGTATCTACCTCATGGGGTTGACGTCTGACTTAAAACGATGAATGCTGACACGTCTAGTTTAGAGTAAATGGTCAATAGGTGTGTTTGTTTCCTTCCTAAGGTCACAGGGACAATTATGAGCTAATGCCCGTGAGAGAGGGCTGCGAACGTCAAGTTCTGGACAAATGGTAACTTTCATTGTCACCCAACAGCCAATGCTCCTGAGATGCAGAACATAACAGCTCTAGAGAAGCAAACAGATCCCACTGTTCCAAGAGACACTGGAATTCAATCCAGTAAACAATGATGTCCCCCTCGCCCCCCTGGAAGCAATCAAGACAATCACTGCCATTTACTGGGCCTCCACCAGCAGCCCCTGTGTTTGCGCTGGGAATACAAAGATGAATAGACCTCGTCCCAGAGCCAGGCGCGCGTCAGACGGCGTCACTAGGAGGCGAGGCAGATGACAACCCAGCACGCGCGCGAGGTCCGCACGGAGCTGGGCCCGCGAGTCCCCAGGGCTTCACCGGGAAATGACATCGGCCCAGGGGCCCGCGGGTGGGTGTGACTTCGGGAGGGGGACAACTTTCTTGAAAGCGACAACAGGTGATGGAGCTGCAAGAGCTCGCAGGTATTCAGGGCCCCCGCCCCTCAAAACAGCGCGCTCCAGCCCTCCGCCCAAGGAGCCCCGGCTAGGGCGTTCCCTGCCCGCCCGCTCCAGCCGGAATCCCGGGGGCGCCTGGGCCTCTGGGAGAACACGGCGTGGGGCGCCGGCTCCTCACATGCCCGGGGTAGCGCCCCAGCCCTCTCACCATTTCGCCCCACACAGGCTAAGCCGCCACTCAAAACCGGAAGAACACGTCGGCAGGAGCCTGCGCCTCGCGCGCCGGAAAAGGCAGGGCCCGAACGAGGTGCGTTGTGGGACTTGAAGTCTTGAGGCTTCGGGGGTTGTAGGAGAGCTAGGCCTGTGGGGGCCGAATACGGGCAAGGTGGGGATATGAGGGGCCGAGGGGTGGAGCGGGGTCGTTGGAAGAGCTCCTTGCTGCAGCAGGCCTGCGTCCCGGGAGAGCTCTGACCCGGGGGACGGGGGCTGCACTACATTTCCCGGGAGGCTGTGCGCGGCATGCGCGGCACGTGACGTGAGCGCGGGCTTTGGAAGGCGGCAAGCGAGAGCGAGCCGTGGGCTGGCTCGGAGGAGTAGGGCTCGGAACCACCTTGGCGCCGCGGGACCAGCGCTGGCGCGGAGGCTCAGGTGAGACCCCAGGGCGGGGTCGCCTTCGAGGTGGCGGCAGGCGGCTTCGCAGCCGGGCAGGCCAGCGCCTTCCGGCTGAGACCTGGGCCATTGGCAGGGCCCTGGGCCTTTCTTCCCCGAGGACGAGGATCTTAACTCCCGCCGCTCGGCTCGTGGTGTGTGTTCATCAGAACCGTGTTGGGGACCACGTGCTGGCCCCCGTCCTGCCTTAACGGCCGGTGTCCCAGAGCAGTGGGGCATTGTGCGCGCAGCATCGACCTGTGCACACGATCTCACAAAGCAAGGCGGGGGGGGGGGGTTCGTTTGCTGAGCACCGGGCCCCGCGCGGTAATCTTTCTATCTGTTGCCGCCGTTCCCCTCCGCACGAATCCTGCTAGGCAGGCGTGGTTACCATCCTCATTTTACAGATGAGCAGACCAAGCTTAAGTGGCTTGATAACTGCACACAGATGGCGGGCACCTGGGATCGAGGCCCAGCTTTGGCCACCACGCCTGTTCCTGGAGAAGCGAAACTGAGGTGGGCCGTGGCGGAGGGGCAGGAGGATGAGGGAGAAGGACGCAGATCTTGATGCCTTTCGGAGGTGCTGGGACTTAATCAGAGATAGGACCGTAGCTGTCACTTACTGATGCTCCAGAAAGAATCGGAAGAGTGGGAACAATTAGAAGCCAGACAGAATATTCCTTAGAGAGTGGCTGACAGATGCCTTTAAGTTGCCCACCAAAAACCACTTACTGCAGTACTGTGGATTGAACCCAGGGCCTTCACCCTGAGCTACATCCCCAGCCCTTTAAACACTTTTTGATTTTGAGATAGACCCTCTCTCACTAAGTTGCCCAAGCTGGGCTCAAACTTGTAATCCTCCTGCCTCAGCTTCCTGAGTAGCTGGAGTTACAGGCGTGTTACCATGCCCAACCTAAAAGTCCTTTTTAATAGTTAAATGATATAAATATTATTGCCTAAAATGCATTTTCTTGGTCAACTTAGTTTTTTAAAAAATCGGGTCCACCTAAAGAAAAATACTAAGTGAATGAAAGTTCGGTTTTAGGTTGGAAGTAACAAAAATTGTGAGGGTAGTTTGGGAAACACTGGGCCAGGGAAGGTTTGACCGAAGTGTCATACTGGGCCAGGTGACTACAACATGGAGGCCCCCAAATCAGGACATGGGGAGGGAGTAGAGCCGTGGATTTCACACTTCAGACTTAGTGGTGGAGAGAAAATAACAAAGGTGGTGGAGATTTGAAACTCTCAGCAACATGTGGATAAAAGTAGAAACTTTATGTGCTAAGGGGTGCCAAAGGCAGAATACAGCAGCACATCACCCCCATCCAGATGTTATACTTGGCTTCTCAGAGTTCTCTAAATAGAACAGAGCAGACAGCAGGCACGTTTATTTAGCTGGTGTTTGCGGGTCCTGCAGCTGATATTTGCCTGTCCAGCCATGATGATCCGCAGACTTGAGCTGAGCCGCAGACTGCTCGGCCCTCCACGTTCCTGATGCGGGTGTCTACTGTAGTCTTTATGTGATGCATCATGCAGTTACCTTGTCCACAGCTTTGCATACCTCAAGAATACCATACTCAGTGTGTAATTCCTGTAAGAATCGGATCACCTCCCAATACTTACCCTTAGTATCGAGTGAGCAATCCTCCTGAACTGTTTCTTGACTTTGAAGGGTCTTGTCCTGTTCATCTTTCCATCTTGTTGCACTGACTTGGTGTCTTACTTGGTTAAACAAGAAGTTGGTAGGGCCGGGGATTTAGCTCTGTGGTACCTCGCCTGCCTCACAGGCAAAAGGTCCTGAGTTCAGTCCCTGGTACCAAAAAAATAAAGAGCTTGGTGAGATAGCACCAACTATCACCCTCACTCCTGCACAAAACTTAAGTCACTTACCAGTGGAGTTATTTAAATACAGGATGAACAGACGTTGCGTATTTTTATTTGTTTTTATAAGATAGCCGGAAATATAAAAATGGCAGTTTTATCAAATTTCTTCAGTACAAGAATCAGCTGGTTGGAATGACACCTGCCTGAGTGACCCTTGGCATAATCTGCTGAGTACGTAAAGCTTCTCCTCTTCTTGTCTTTCCTTTTTTAGCCATGGGAATTCAAGGCCTGGCCAAACTGATCGCCGATGTGGCCCCCAGTGCCATCCGGGAGAATGACATCAAGAGCTACTTTGGCCGCAAGGTGGCCATCGATGCCTCCATGAGCATCTACCAGTTCCTGATCGCTGTTCGCCAGGGAGGAGAAACACTGCAGAGCGAGGAGGGTGAGACCACCAGCCACCTGATGGGCATGTTCTACCGCACCATCCGCATGATGGAGCACGGCATCAAGCCCGTGTACGTCTTCGATGGCAAACCACCACAGCTCAAGTCGGGCGAGCTGGCCAAGCGCAGTGAGCGGCGGGCCGAGGCCGAGAAGCAGCTGCAGCAGGCCCAGGCTGCCGGGGCGGAGGAAGAGGTGGAAAAGTTCACCAAGCGGCTGGTGAAGGTCACAAAGCAGCACAACGATGAGTGCAAGCATCTGCTGAGCCTCATGGGCATCCCGTACCTCGATGCCCCCAGCGAGGCGGAGGCCAGCTGTGCTGCCCTGGTGAAGGCTGGCAAAGTCTATGCCGCGGCCACCGAGGACATGGACTGCCTCACCTTCGGCAGCCCTGTGCTCATGCGACACCTGACTGCCAGCGAGGCCAGGAAGCTGCCCATCCAGGAGTTCCACCTGAGCCGCATCCTGCAGGCGCTGAACCTGACCCAGGAGCAGTTCGTGGATCTGTGCATCCTGCTGGGCAGTGACTACTGCGAGAGCATCCGGGGCATCGGGCCCAAGCGGGCCGTGGACCTCATCCAGAAGCACAAGAGCATCGAGGAGATCGTGCGGCGGCTCGACCCCAGCAAGTACCCCGTGCCGGAGAACTGGCTGCACAAGGAGGCACAGCAGCTCTTCCTGGAGCCTGAGGTGCTGGACCCCGAGTCTGTGGAGCTGAAGTGGAGTGAGCCCAACGAGGAGGAGCTGGTCAAGTTCCTGTGTGGCGAGAAGCAGTTCTCTGAGGAGCGGATCCGTGGCGGGGTCCGCCGGCTGAGCAAGAGCCGCCAGGGCAGCACTCAGGGCCGCCTGGATGACTTCTTCAAGGTGACCGGCTCGCTGTCTTCAGCCAAGCGCAAGGAACCAGGGCCCAAGGGGTCAGCGAAGAAGAAGGCGAAGACGGGGGCGGCGGGGAAGTTCAAAGGAAGGAAGTAAACCCGCCGTGCCCCTTGTCCCCACGGAAGCCTGAGCCCGGCAAGGCCGCGGGGTGGGGTGGGGTGGGGTGGGGGCGCTCCACCCTTCTCAGTGGTGCTTCCCTTTCACTTGGTGTTGGTGGGAAGGCAGGAAGCCCACGGAGCTGCTGCTTCCTCTTGTAGCTCAGGAAAGTGTTGGGCTCAAAGCACTGCTCAGGCAGGGTGGAGGACAGGTGACAGTGACAGCAGGAAGAGGGACGGGAGTGGCGGGGACCAGATGGCAGGGAATGGTTTCCTGTCTGGGCAGCCCAGGCAGAGCCACACTGCTCTTCCCAGCCCGGCCGGACCCACGGGGGCAGGGAAGCGCTCCTGAGAGCAGGAAGCCCTGCGGTTGGCAGTAGGGTTTGACCACTGGGTGCTCTTGAGGTGAAAACATGAACATGCTATGTGATGCGTTATTCAGAGGCGTAAGTTGGCGAGCTCTTGCAGCCAGGATTAACACTGGTGTCTTACGCTGTTTTTGTTCTAAAGATATGAACGGGGGGAAAAAATCAATAAAATAGTGAAAGTGTCCTGAATGTGTGTTCTTTGCAAACATTTGAGAAAACCCCTGGCTCTACGGGTCAGAAACATTCTCCACTACACTGAAGGTGACACGCTGGAATCACACCGTGGTGACAGGTGGCCGAGTGGCCACGAGGTGGCACTGTGCCCCCTGCGAGGCCCGAGCCATGGTAGGAGGCGGCCTGGTTCATCTTGCTGCCGGTTTTAATAAACTCAGTGGGTTTCTGGTGCTCCGCCTTCCCTGGGAGACACAGGACCCCGAGAAGGGTGTGAGATTTAGTCCGCACCCTCACATCCCGCAGGTACTCTGCCAGTGTGGGGTGGGCGGCTGCCCTCGGAGCTGTGTCAGCCCAGCAGAGCCTGGCGTGGCATGGGGCCAGCCGGCCTGAGTGTTTAGCATTCCCGTCACTGCCATTTGTAGCTCCAAATACTTAGGTAACCATCCACACTTGGTGGAAAACATCTTGGAAGAATAAACAAGACAGCACCACTGGTTTCCACACCTTTGAGCAGAGCAGGCGGTTTTCCAGGTGGAGTCTTAGGTGAAAGACCAGGGTGGAGGCACATGTGCAGCTGAAGCAGGAGTCTCCCCAGCAAACCCGACAAGGGTACTGGAAACAGGGAGACAATGCCCCCCCCGTTTTGTTCTCTGCTCTACTCCAGCAGCTGATGAACGGAGCAGATTTCCCCAGGTGGAGCAGAGCCACAGTTGGGACAGGTAGAGGCCCCGCTAGCAAGGGTGATGCGACCTTGGATGCAATCACCTTGGTGTAGACAGCCGCGGGGAAGGGCCTGTTCCCTGGGGTGGGCAAGCATGGCCGGCCCGGCATCGCACCTGTGAACCCGGGTTGTCCTGGACAGCTAGCTGTCAGTCTGCAGGGGCACCCTGTGAGAAATCACCACCCGCACGCGGACTCTTGCCCAGTGGGCAGGACAGGGTAGGAACCATGGTGCCATCCGTGCCAAGCGCGTGCTGCTCGCCGAGGTCCAGGAGGAAGGGCTTAGGGCAGTGACCACCGTGAAGGCAGGACACCTGAGGCAGAGGCAATGACTGAACAGGAACCCAGAGGGCAGGGCAAGGGCACGGAGCGCCACCCTGGCCTGGGTGTCACAGAGTCCCTGCTCCTGTGCTGCCTGAGGGGTGTACAGGGGGCAGCGAGGCAAGGGCACAATGAATGGAGCCAGGGCTCGTCTCACACCACGTGCATCGCGATGACAAACCACGCTGTCACTTGGTCACAACTTTACTTTTGAGCTTTACACCATCAGGATGTGGTAACAAGGTTGGCGCACATGACGGAGCCTGACCTGGGCCCGTCAGAGGAGACGCCCAGGCCTGGAGGTGGAGAAGAAAGGAGAAACATGGCAGCCAGAGCTGGAGAACAGCTGCAGGGCTCCGCCTCGATCCCTGTGCCGGCAGGCAGCTTCCGACTGAGCATCTCCTGAGTCCCTCGCTTTACAGGGTGACTGTGGCTGCTCCCTCCTGGCCACATGGGACCATGCTTTAGGGCTAAGGTCACAAGGCCTTGGCCCCCACTGGTGTTAGTGCAGACCGGTGGCCCGGGGCCAGGGCCAGCTGGCGCCCTAGGCCGGGGATGCCATGTGCACGCTGGCCGGCAGGGACAGGAAGGGGTCAGCGCAGCACCTGGAGGAGCAGGCGCCAGGCAGCGCTCCCCTCAGCCATCCTCGAGCAGGGTCTCCAGCTGGGGCATCATGGGAAGCCTGAGCACGCCAGGGCCTCTCCAGGTTTAGACAAAGATCAGGGTCACACAGCCTGGGCACAGCCTCACCTACCACCCTGCTTCCGCTGGCCACCAGCCCCAGCCAACTTGGGCCCTGCTTCTGCCTTCCAGGCTGGACCAGAAGGCTGCAGCCAGGCAGGAAGGGGCGAATGCAGGATGGCCACCTTCAGGGTTCAGGGAGACCCCTTGGGTGTATTCGGGCCCCTTTCTGGAATGATGAGTTCAACTGGTTTTTTTTTTCCTCTTTTGCAAATCAGATTTAAAAACTGACTTTCAGTGTTAGTATGTTTTTAAGAAGTTACTCTAAATTTCCATCTGGTTTCCACAAGAATCAGACACTGGAACAAGAGCCAACAGGCGACGCAGTGACGGCCACAAACACCTGCACTTGTTCCCTCCTGCTTCGGATCAGACTACGCGCGGCTTATGGACTCTGCTCCCCAGGGATGACGCCATGGCGTCACTTCCTGTGTCTGTATCCTGGTGCTGACACCTCACACGCTCCGGTCACCGCTTACAACTTGGAGTCACAAGGTGGGAAGCAGAGGGGAGCCGCTGGGAGCCCCGTTTCTTTGCAGGGAGGGAGACAGACCCAGTCGCCCTGTCTGCTCACTGGCCAGTGGAGCAGGAAGTGAGTCCTGCGCTCCTGCGGTGGTCAGAGAGAAGATGGGGTTCCAGTGCCAGTGACACCCCGACCCGGGCTCCCACCTGATTGGCGTATCACGAGGCTGACACCAGAAGTGCCAGCATCATGTGGCCAGGTCTCCAAGAGGACAGTCCAGGCCTGTGCCCCGCTGTGCACTCTGGAAAGCGGCAGGCAGGCAGGTGGCCCTGTGGAGCTGAGCGCCCAGGTGGGAGGCAACTGCTTCCGTCCTGAGCTATCAGCCGCCACAGCCCTGGGGTCTGCCGGAGGGGCACAAGGGCCAGGGGTCCCCCTCTCCGACCCTCCGTGGTCCCCTCTACTCATCATCCACCTGCATTTGCTGAAGCAGAAAGGAAGCAACACAGACTCCCACTCCCGCCTGTGGCCCCCAACGCGCCCCTGCCGGACACCGAGTCACAGTGGCACATCCCTCGAGCTCCCCACTTTGGCCGAGTCGTCCCTTCCTCGTCCGGATGGGGCAGGGGAGCGGCGGCAGCTACTGGTGAAGGTAGGCGTCCAGCCACAGCTGCCCCGACTCCTTCAGCGAGCTGCAGGGACCCAGGGCGGGCAGTGAGGTGGCCAGCACAGTGGGCATTGGCCCACGCCTGCCAGGGCGACCTCCCGCCCCATGCCCGCCCGCCAGCTGCTGCCCGCACTCACTGCACGATGTCGGCGAAGGCGGAGAGCAGGGGCTTGGACTGGTACTCGATGCCGTGCTTGGCGCACAGGGACCGCACCAGTGGCGCTGCCTTGTGATAGTTGTGTCGGGGCATCGTGGGGAAGAGGCTGCGGGCAGAGCAGCACCATGGCCTGAGCCCTGCATTCTCCCCACCCCTCCCCGGCGCCCTCCGGCCCCACTCACTGGTGCTCGATCTGGAAGTTGAGGTGCCCGCTGAACCAGTCGTTGAAGAAGGACTGCTCCACGTTGCAGGTGGCCTGGAGCTGGGGAGGGGAGGGGAGGGGAGGGGAGGGGAGGGCCCGGGTCAGTGAGCCAGCCCAGCGGCGGGGAGCAGCCCGGGGACTGGGGTGCCGGGCCCACCTGAGTGGAGACCCAGTCCACGTTGCGGTCGTGGTCGATGTGCATGGGGATGTGGTTCATCTGTGTCACCCACACGAACCAGTTGCTCTCTAGGAACCTGTTGGCCACAGTGGTGATAGAACTGTGAGCCCACCGTGCTGGCCCCAGCCTGCTGTGCCCGCCACACACCCAGCAGCGCTACCTGACAATGAAGAACAGGCCCAGGAAGCCCCTGAGCCCCAGCAGCGGCACGTAGGTGAGGAAGAGGCGCAGGTAGAAGGTGAGCATCCAGGCCAGGTCCTGTGGGGCCAGGGGCAGAGAGCGGTGCTGCTGTGGGGTTTCTACCTCCCTCCGCCTGGCCAGCGTCTTTCACTCCCAGGGCTGCCGCCCCTGCCCTGCGCCCTCTCCAGCCTGGCAGAGGGACCCCGGACCTCGGTCCATACATGCAGCCCCTTTCTGCTCAGTGACAAAGCATCACTCTTCCCAACATCTGGGGCCACACGCCCCACACCCCGCTTCTCAGCCTGCAGCCCGCCTCCGCCGTCCTCTGCCTGTCAGCTCCTGCCCATGCTTTGGGGCCGGCTGGAAAAGGGTCTCCGCGGGGCACAGTGCCGGGCCCTTCTGTGTGCCCAGGGCCCGCCTCCCATGTCACACCCATTCGCCCAGCTGCTGCTGAGCCAAGTGCTTGAGCCACTGAGATGCGGGGAGCACCTTCACCTGGTGCTGACTCTGCTCTACAGGGGAGCCAGAGCCAGCCTCAGTTTCTCCTGGAGAGCTCTCACCCCTCCCCAGGGTAGCAGAGAACATAGTGCGGGGCTCCTCAGGGCCTTACCACCCACTTCTTCCGCTGGATGACAAAGTAGAAGATGTACCACTGGAAGTAGAGTGGCAGCAAGGCCGGCGGCCCGACTGGGAGGGAGAGGAGAGGGGAGGCGGGTGAGCCCCACCATGGAGAGGTCCTGGCCACCCCACCAGCAGCCTACATCACCACAACCAGGGCGGGCACACGCCGAGTCTAAGCGCCACGCTGCCATGGACGCCAGGCAGCGGAGACGCCTGCTCTGTTCCCTGATGGGCACTGCAGACATTCCCAAGCCTCGGCCCGGCCCACCGCGAAACCGCCACCCTCCCCTCCGGTCTCAGGCAGGGGCAGGAAGGCAAGTGGCACGCGCCGGGTCAGGGCTCTCTGGCTCCTCACAGGCTGCGCCACCTCCTCAGACCAGGGCAGGGCCTGTGCACCCCCACCTGCAGCCTGGAGGTCACTGGTGAGGCACAGCGGCTTCTCTCGCAAGGAGGCTGTGGGCTGAAGACGCTGCTTCCGGCCCAGTGCCGTCCTGACCTCCCTGTCCCTCCCTGCTGCCCCAAGCCACCCGCCCAGCGGACAGTCAGACTCTCCCCTCCCTCCTTTCAGGTCTCAAATTTGAAAGTTGTGCAGCTCAAACTTGGGACATTTGGAGAGCCTCCTACAGCGAGGAGAGGAGCAGACAGCACAGCATGGTGCGGCAGAGCTCAGGTGGCCCTCCCCGGGCCGTGACCGCCTGCCAGGCCAAGGTGACCTCCGGGTGGTGCAGAGCCCGAGCCGGCCGCGCGGGGGCCTGGGTGCACTCACTCAGGAAGAAGTATCTGTGCTGGTGGTTGTACGGCATGTACTTTTTCTTCTGCTTCCCAAGCTGTGAAGAAAACCAACCGTGACTGTGGTCCCTGTCAGGGACAGCGCCCCTGCCCCAGCTGCGGCCTCCCGCCTGGGCGGCTGGTGCCACGCAGGCAGGGCTGTGCGGGGCTCCTTGTCCCTCAGGGCATCTCTGCCTGGGCTCCTGGCCCATCGTCCCCCTTGTCTCTGTCAACAGCAGGATCTCCACACAACACACTGCGGCCCCTCTACAGGAAGTGCCCCAGGTCCTGCCCCGCCACCTCCCGGTTCAGTCTCCCGGACTCTAAAACCCCAGAGAGCTGAGCAAAGAGGAGATATTCGTGGCCTTCCGAAGGCTCGGAAGTTTTCTTCCCAGTGGAGTGGGGACTCTGTGACCCCAGCAGCAGGAGGGACAGGTGGGTGGAAGCAGCCCGGTCACCAGCCCGGGCCCTGGCTCGGGGTCCCACGTACACCCTGCGTCTCACACCCTGGCTCTGGCGGCCCTCGTCCCAGGGGTTCTTGGGAGCAGACAGCCACCAGGGTTGGACCCCACCGCTGACCTCGAGCAGAGGCCAGCCTGGCTGTCAGAGCCACCGCCCGCCACAGGCCCATCCTCTGCGTCGGGCGCCCCAGCCAGCCGAGCTCGCCGTCTGCATTCACCCAGCAGCACGCGGCACCAGCTCTGCACTGGTCACTGCGGTGCTGGGGCACCAAGCTCCCACCCCAGGAGAGGGAGCCGGTGGTAAGTCAGGAAGCAGAGCTTGACGTAAGTTACAGGGAAACGAGGTGGCAAGGCACCCATGTGGCAAAGGCAGTCCCACCTGTCCTCCCTGACTGGCGGGGAGGACGTTCATGGCAGCAGGAGGAGGACATTATGGTGTTCAGAACAGCACTGGGCAGGGCCAGAGGAGAGGGCCTTGAGAGCCCGCAGGTCGGCATGAGGCCGCTCTGCTGCCTCCGGCTGGGGGTGGGGAAATGACCAGCCCGGCCAGGAGGCCCCAGGCAGGGTGGGGCAGCAGTCGGAACACAAGGTCACTTGCAGAGGCTTGGGAGGTGGGGACCCTCCCCACGTGGAGCCAGAGCACCCACTGGGAGCCACCAACTTGGACTTTCTGCCTGCAGAGCTGCGAGCTATTGAAGAAGCCCTTTTCCTACCCAAACACAGGCATTTTTCTGTAGTGATGGAAATGGAGCGGGAGCAGAGGCCTGAGGGGGCTGGGGTAATTTGGGGGCCATCAGGGCTCGGCGATGAACTAGGGGTTAGTGGCGGGACCCTGGGAGGGGAGCACCCGTCAGGGCCGGGGGGAGCTGCTCTTCAGTGGCAGCTGAATGCAGTGTGACCCCATTAACTCTGTCCCTGGGTTCACCAGGCTCTGTTAGAGCAGGGGCCGTGGTCCCGCCAGGGTGCCATCACCCAGTTAAGACGTCTCTGGAGCTGGGAGCCCAAGCAGCCCGAAGCCCCAGCCTTCTTGATCCTGAGGAGCCCAGGCCGAGACCCCAGAGGATGTTCAGGTTCCCAAAATCACTCGCCAAGAAGTGGTGGAAGCATGGTGAGAAAAGAATGTCCCTTCCCCTCCGTCTCCTGGGCCCTCTCTGGCGACCACACAAGTGCTGAGAGCCCAGGCTGCTCCCAAGGTGACCCACGCCACACTGGAAGCGGGCACCAGAGCCAGGTGGGGGCCAGGGCTGGGTGCACCCCACACGGCACCCTAACCAAGAAACCAGGAGAACGCCAGGGACTGGCCTGGCAGGAGCCTCAGGCAGAGCACCCTGTGCCAGGGCAGCCAGCACTACCAGGGGAGAGCAGAGCCAGGCTGCCTGAACTCCTGCCTGGGGCTGAACTGCATCTGGTGACACTGCAGCTCCTGGCAAGTTGAAACGTCACCGAGGGGGAAGGGACCTGGCAGAATGCAGCGGCTGTGTGAGCCTGGGGATAAGGATTTTCATGAACTTTTCAAGAACTCTGCTGGTATCCAGAACCTCAGCGCCCGAGCTGAGCGTGCTCAGGTCCTCCCCTACCGACTCTTCCTTCAGCCACAGGTGCGATTTTTGCTCCCCACCTCAGTCCACAGCTAAAACCTAGAGGATCCAGGAGGGTGGGGAGCAGCAGAGCTGTCACCTTGGTAGCCACAGGGATAAGATCCTGGCCTGGCCAAGTTCCTCGTGCACAGGGGTGCCCCATGGCACGCGTGGCAACCTGCAGTCCCGGGGAGCCTGCTGGCCCTGGGCCTGGCCGGGGCTTCCTCTGCTGTGCAGAACTAGGAGGGAGCCCAGCTGGGCCAGCGCTCTCCGCAGGCTACACCAGTGCCTCCACGCGTGCTGTGACCTAGCTAGACACCCAGGATGTCCCGCACAATGAGACTGCCAGCAGCTGACACGCAGCACTGGTCAGGAAAGCATGGCGGGAGAGAGCATTTGCACACGCTCACTACGGTGCACCTGCTTTTCTGAGGGTTTCCGAACCCACAGACGCAGGGCCCAAGCACACAGACGTCCAACGGTACCAGTAACCATGTTCCCGGGCCACTGCCTGGGGGGGGGGGTCACCACGGTGACCTGTCACCCCAGTCTGTGCAGGGCCCCAGGAGCCAACGACCCGGCCCGGGCAGCCCTGGCTGCTGCCATGCCCAGCTGCAAGGCCAGGGCTCCAGCCAGCCCCGCCGAAGCCCACCTCGGGCAGGCCCTGTGTACCTTGCAGCCCACTCACCTCCACCGAGAGGACCTTCCCCAAGGCGAAGAAGAGGGGGTGCATGTTGATGTCTGGGTCTTTGCGGAAGCAGTTGGGCTTGGCGTGGTGCTGGAAGTGCATGTGGTTCCACCAACTGGCAGGTGCCCCCTGCACAGGACAGGGACAGGGAATGGAGACCGACCGGCATCCCCGTGCCCCAGGCAGCCCTTCGAGGGCCCCACCCACCTTCAGGTGGCCAATCACAAAGTGGTGCAGCAGGTGGTTCATCGTGGAGGTGCCGAAGACCGACAGGTGCCCGAAGTCGTGCTGCAGCCAGCCGGCCTGAGCCTGGGGACAAGGCCAGGAGGTGTGGTGCCCAGGATGGACTTGCACCCAGGACTCAGAAGAAACCGAGGGGCACAAGGCTGGCCGAGTACTGCACGCCAGATGCTGGGCCTGGCCTCTCAGGCAGGGGGAGTCGTGGTGGGTGGGAGCCACGCTCCCCGGGCTTCAGGACCCAAACTCGAACTGGCTCCATGGGAAGAAGGGGACTGCGTGGACAGGGCCTGGAGAGCCAGGGATACTGGCGAGCTGGGGCCAGGCTAGGCTCACCTGGACCACGCTGAGGAGCACGGCGCAGAGGAGGAAGGGCAGCAAGGATGTCCCCAGGATGTGAAGGGTGAGCCAGGCGGCCCCGTCGAGCAGCAGGATGTGCAGCAGGTGCAGCAGGAAGAACAGGTGGTTGGTCCTCATGAGCCCCATCCGCCCCACCGCAGCCCGAAGCTCCCGGAACTCATAGGTCAGCTCCATCTGCAGTGGGCAGTGGAAGTGAGGGGCTGGAGGGAGACTCCTGGCCAAAAAGACAGCAGGGCCAGGCCGAGGAGCTGGCGGGCCCTGTGAGGCCCTGCTGTCTCCTGTGTGACTGGGGGCTTGGGGCTTAACTGTCCCAGCCCGTTTCCTCTCGAGTGGGAATTACAAGCTTACACTGGGTCTGCAGAAAGTGCTGGATGCAGGTCTCCTGTGGAAGGTGGAGCCCTGCGGGACTCGGGGTGCAATCCCCCGACCCCTGGGCCCGCGGGAGAGTCGGGGACCTGCCTCTCACCTGTGGTCCGTCTGGGCTTCTGCCCTCCCACCAGCCAGACCCCCAGAGCACACAAGCTCACATTCTTGCTGGGCTCAACGCTGGGCTGCTCCGGGGACAGCTCCCCTATCAGGAGGGAGTTCATGTACTTCCGCACCAGGCCCTTGTTGATGTGGAACGCCAGGAAGGGGTCCTGTGGGAGAGGGGCAGGCGAGGCAAGGTGAGGCTCCCTGAAGGTCACCCCTCGGTCCAGCCAGGCGCTGCCCAGGCTGACGCGGGGCCGTCCTCCCGCCGGCTGCCCTGGGGTTGCTGGGCTCTGCTTCGCCCCAGCCAAGATGCCCAGCCCTGGGAGCTCCGGGGGGCTGGGGCCGGATGGGCCACGACCTCCCCCACCTCCCTACCGGGGACCCGGTTTCACCGCCTTCCCGGGGCGCACTCTGCGAGGCGGGAGAGGCCTGCAGGCGGGAGAGGCCGTAGCCCGGGGCGGAGCCGGGCCCTGCCCGCGGCGAACGCGGTCCGGTCCCTCGGAGGCCAGGCCGGCTGCGCCCGGAAGGGGCGGCCCTGCACGCAGCGACCCGGCGGGACCCGGAGCCGTCATGCGGGGCCGGAACGCTCGCGACCCGGGGCCGCCCGCCGCCGCCGCCCGCACCGTGGCGTCCTGGCCCGCGTAGTGCCTGAGGACCCGCGAGCCGCCGGGGTGGCGCCGGGCGAAGTCGCCGACATCGTACACCTTGCGCTCGATCACCAGCCAGCGCTCCCCGCGCCCCGCGCTCCGCGCCACCTCCTCCCACGTGAAGAGACGCGCCCCGCCCCACTCCCGCTCCCGCCGCCCGGCCGCCTCGGGGTCCGCAGCCATCACGCGAGGCCCGCGGGGCGCGCCCGGCTTTCTGCACCGCGAACCCCGCCGCGCGCGCGCCCATTGGCCGAGCCAGGTGGCGCGGAGCGAGCCCCGCCCCCGCCCCGCCCCGCCCCGCCCGGGCCCAGCTCCCGCCGGACACACGCCCCCTCGTGGACCATGGCGAGGGTCGCGTCGACCCCGCTTCCGGACTCGGCCGGCCGCGGGCGGGGAGGCGCGGATGGAGCAGTGCGCGGGCTGACTAACGGGCCGGGTGCGCCCGAGGCGCCCCGCTCTCCAGGCCCGGGCAGCGCCGCGAGAGGCGTGGACCCGGCGTGCCTGGAGCGCCCGCCCGGGAGTGGGCGTGTTGAGTGAGCAAACAGCCACAGGCCTGTGTTCCCAGCACTCTGGGAGGCTGAGGCAGAAGGATCAGAAGGATCGCTTGTTCAAGCCAGGATTGGGCAATTTAGCAAGACATTATCTCAAGACCAAAAATTTTAAAAGAGCGGGGTAATGTAGCTAAGTGTGAAGGGCCTGGATTCAATCCCTAGTACTGTAAAAACACAAAACAAAACGAAACAAAAACCCCTCAAAAAACAACACTTAGGGCGAATTAAATTTGGCAGTTTGTTTCAGCAGGGACGCAAGCATCCGCGCCCGGGCCCCCTTGGATGCAGCTGAGCGCTCCTCGAAAGCCAGGCACTCCCATGACCCAGGCCCTTGGTACACAGACGCCCGCGGGTGCAGTTTGGGGAGTCCGGAAGACAGGCGCCTGCTTCCGCTTTGGACCAGAGTTTCCTTTGTGTTTGAGACAGGGTCTTCGGTTCAGACCAGCGTTTAACTCACTGTGTAGCCCAGGCTGGCCTCGAACTCCTAGTAACCCTCCTGCCTCAGCCTCCCAAGTGCTGGGATCACAGGTGTGTGCCACCATGTCCAGCCTCAGAGCTGACGTTATTTGACAGTTCTCTGCCTGCCTGTTGGCTTACTTGTTTTGTAAGCTGATACATACATTTTATGTATTCATCCTGCACAGCAGGTATTAAGTTTGCCTGCCTTGTGGAACGGCTAAGTCTGGCTACTCACCAAGCAGCGCCTGGCATAGGCAGCCCTTTGTGGTGAGAATACTCGCTGCCGTGTACACCGCAGCATTTCTGAAGAGCACACGGTCACTCACTGTGGTCCTACTGTGGGAACTTTCAGAATTGTTCATCCTAGCTCACCATCGTCTCCTCACTGCCTCTTGGACACCCCAGGCTCCAAGACATCCCACTGCAGTTCTACCATCTCCTCCTCTTTGTCTTTTAAGAGTCCATAAATTTGTCTTTTAGTGACTAGGTCATCCCACTTAACATCCTTGGTGGTATCCGTGCTGCTGCCATGACAGGCTCTTGTTTCTTTTTCATGGCTGAGTAGTATTCTGCCACAGTTTCTCTACCCATTCATGCATGGATGGATGCAAGCTGACTTCACGTTTGGCTGTGGGGAAAAATACTGCAAGGAGCACAGGAGTGCAGGCATCTCCTCACATACTGATTTCCTCTGGGTGTGTTCCCTGCAGACCAACGGCTGGCTCACGTGGTCGTTCTATTTCAATATCTCGAGGAAAGTCAGTGCTGTTTTCTGTAATCGCTGCAGTACTTTACATTTCCACCAGTCTGCTCCAGCACCTGCTGGCACTTGTCTTTCTCATAGTTGCCATTCCAGCTGGAGTGAGATGGGACTGTCTAAAGCCATGATTTGCATTTCCCTGCAGACTGGTGATGTTGAGATAAACCCGCTTGCCGTTTTGTGTCCTGTCTGGAGAAATGCCTGCTCATTGTAAAGCCAGGTTGCTTTCTTGCTTTGGAGCCACGCACTTTGTACATTTTGGGTACTGACCCTTTATCAGAGTACAGTCTGCAAATGTTGCCACCCGTTCTGCGAGCGTCTCCAGTGTGTGTGGAAATTCTGGTTCGGTGGGATCCCGTCTGTCTGTTTGCTTTGGTTGCCTGAGGTTTTGAGATCATAGCTGAACATTCTCTGCCCGGGACAATGTCAGGGGGCTTCCCCCTGGCTTTTCTCCTCGTGGTTTCTTAGCTTGGTTGCTGCCTTTGAGTCTTCAGTGCACATGGGGTGGCTTTTTGTGCACGGTGAGCAAAGAGGGCCCACTGTGCTCTTCTGTTCCTGGAATCGTTTTCCCAGTGCTGTGCGTCCAGAGACTGTCCTTTCCCCGGGTGCATTTCGGCCCCTTTGGCAGAAGCCACCTGCTGACTGCTGCTGTGGGGCTGTCTGTCCCCGCCCTGGGTCCGCCTGTCTGTTTCCTGCTGGGACCCTGCTGTTGGTTACTGCAGCTTTGTGGCAGAATTTGGGATCGGGTAGCAGATGCCTCTAACTTTGCTTTTCGGCTCCAGGTTACTTTGGATATTCAAGGTCTTTCACTTCCTCCCTTTCCATCAGACCCTTGATTATGAGAGATGCACCAGAGCCTCGGGCACTGACACCCTGTCTGTCCACCATCCCGACGGACTCAGTCTTTGTTGCACAGAATTCGTACTTCACTCCGGCAGGGGTTCGGATGGCTCGGATGGTTCTGCTTTCCTCTTGGGACGTAGACAGGATGGCCACCCAGGACCCACCACAGCTGAGAGGCCTCGGGATGCTACCGGGAAAACAAACTGAGAAACTGAGGTACATACGCCCTCAGCAGGCATCGCCGACCAAGCTGACCGAAGGCAAACAAGTCCAAGTGCGGCCGCAGAGATGGCTCAACAGCGTTTGTGGGCACAGGCCTTATTTAGGGCCTGGCAGTGCTGAGGATCGTCACCTACAGGAAGTCCCCGCCTTACAGGTAAGCTCCGTCCGGGAGAACGTTTGTAACTCGGACTCACTCCCAAGTCCGACAGACACAGTGAGTCTCACACACCTTCGAGACAAATACACAACGCGCCTTGGTCTGTGCTGCCTCGTGGTCCCCTCACCCCGGCCCCGGCCTCCTCCCGCTTCAGGACACCCTGGGCCCTGACCGAGCCCTGCTGCCGTCCACCTCCGCACTGTACAGCAAGCACACAGCAGCGCCCTGTGACAGCGTCCGCCAGACGCTGGGGCTACTTCTGTGACCTGTCCACGTCTATGACACGGGGGTCTGTTCATATCTGTGAACGCTCGCAGGCCACTTCCCTTGTACAAGTCCTTATTTTCCTTAAATCCAACTAACTCCAGCTGTTTGGGGTTTAGTGTGGCAATGTGATAAGAAAATAGAAGTGACAAACGTGTCTCCCATGCAGACACACGTCCACACCAGGCAGAAACAGGTCCGAATATGCAGTCGGGCACAACCACACAAGCTCCTGCGCCCCAGGTCGTGTTTCTGGCCCAGGGAACAGATTTCCTGCCCAGGCAGCTGAAGCATCTGACTCATATTTGTGAAAAGACCTTGGATTATGTCATTTGTTTTCTCAAGAAATCTTTTAAAGGGGCAGTCTAGGAGACATTCACTTTCAAGCATCAGTGTATCAATTTATTTTTGTTTTTCTGAGACAGGGTCTCACTGTGTAGCCCAGGCTGGCCTCGAACTCCTAGTGACCCTCCTGCCTCAGCCTCCTGAGTGTTGGGATCACAGGTGTGCGCCACCAGGCCCGGCTTCTGTGTATCATTAAGCACTGTGTCCCACTGCTTCGGTGGCTGCTGGTTCGTTCCTTTCCTTTTCAGAGGTTCACGTTTGCACCAGTGAGGAACTGATTGTCTGCAATTAGCCCATCGGAAGGGTCTTACTCCTGCTGGTGTTTGTTCTCCAGGTCTGCTCTGATTGATTCCTGTGACCCTCGGTGAAGTTCTCCTGGGCCTCCTCTGGGGAGCGGCTTCCCTTGTGCAGGGTCCACACCAGAGACCTCTGTGCCCTCCGTGCCTTTGCCCCCAGCCTTTGCCTCCGCCATGAGCGCGTCACCACTGTTCCCTCTGCCCCTGGGCACGGCCTCCTCGATCTCCCGGATCTTATAACCATCGGAGAACTCCTCACGGTGGCTGACGAGGTCCCGACTGGTAAGATAGGTAATCGTGATGGTGGCTGAAGGGAGTCGTGGCCACCCAGCTTAGGACTGTGGAGATCAGAGCAAGCGCGGTGCAGCGGGAGTGGCGCTCAGGGGAAGGGGGCAGTGGGTAGAAAAAAAACTTTTTAGGTTTTTTGAGACAAGGTCTTGCTATTCAATTCTGGCTGGCCTTGAATTCATGTAGCCCAGGCTGGCCTTGAACTTGCAGGAATACTCCTGCCTCAGCCTCCCGAGTGCTGTGTTTACAGGCGTGTGCCACCTCGCCTTGCCCCAAAATTGTTTTGTCTATATATGTTTTCCCTTAAAAATTTCCAGCCCAGTAGCTGGGCCCATGCCTATAATCCCAGGTACTCAGGAAGCTGAGGCAGTAGGACCCTAGTTTGAGGCCAGCCTGGGCAATTTAGCAAAACTCTATCCCAAAATAAAATATAGAAAGTGCTGAGGGTGTAGCTCAGTGGTAGAGGTAAGCAGAATATCTACTTAGCAAGCACAAGGGCCAGGGTTCAAGTTCCAGTCACACACACACACACACACACACACACACGCACTCCATAGAGTTCCTGAAACAGAATCACTCATTTTTAAGGTTCTAAAGTTGCCAAATTATTTTTCCAAAATGGTGAATCCACTTGTGCTCTAACCAGACGTACAGGGAGCTTCTCTCCCACCGCCCCTCCAGTGCGTGAGAACCGGGTTGTGTGGGGACCCCACCCTGGCCGTGTCTCACCTGTGATTGGGGTCCAGTCTCCTCCGGGCTCTGCTTTTCCCGTAGACAGCATTTTTCAGCGATGACGATGTTGCCCATCCTGGTTCTCTCTCTCTCTTCTTCACAATTATGCTTTATTACATGACATACACTACATTAATAATGAGCAAAATCAGCAAAGGAAATTGGCACACTGAGCGAAATCCAGAGGAAACTGAAGTTCCGGTTTGGGGAAGTCCTGTCCCAGTGGTCACACAGAGCTCAGCTCCTGCAGTCGTGCCCACCCCGGTTCTCTAACTCGCTCTGCCGCCCACCGCTGAGCTGACACATTCCAGTACGCTTGGATCTGCCGAGGTCAGAACTCAGGGCTCTTTCCAACTTTGGCTACTAAATTCGCCATTTTTGCATGGGCCACACGCCCTCTGCCTCCAAGAGTGAGATGATTCCCTCCAGGGGTACAGAGTCTATGGTAGTTCCCGCTGCACCTCTCCAGGGTTGGTGAGGCCTTTCCGGCTGCTAGCTGGGGTCCAGGAGGGGCTGCAGGGTAGGCGCCGACCTGAGGCTGCAGGGGATCCGGGTGTGGCCGGCCAGCCGGGCGAGTGGGTGTGGCCGTCAACACGAGGCCCAGGACACATGCGCAGAAGGGGCCCAAACCCTGCCTGGGACCAATCAGAAGGCGCTGTCTTCGATTCTTTTGGCTCAGATCAAGCAGGGTTTTGTTTTGTTTTGTTTTTTAAGTAGGTTTTTGATAGGAAAGCCCAGGTCTGACAGCAGCCTGAAGGATGAGAGATAAAAGGTCCCTGCCATTAACCTTGTGGCCACCCTGAGCTCTCTCCGCAGAGAGTACGTTGCCTAGTAGATGTAAAAATCTCGCTGCCTTTTTGCGTGTCTTGTCCAATTCTTTGCTCAGAACGACACGAACCTGGAAAGAATCCTTCAAAAGAGTCTGATGAACCCCAGAACCCCATCGCAGCCTGGCGTCCTGCTGGAACCTGTGCTCCCATGAGAACTGGGGTGACTCTTCCTCATCCGAACCCCAGTTTCCTTATCTATCAAATGAGGGATTTAGGGCAGGAGGCTTGAAGGCCACCAGGGCTCCAGCCCCACTCCCTTTCCTGGGCGGAGGGTGGGAGTGGGGCGTGGCAGGCATCCCGGTGGGTCTGGGGAGCACACCCTCCCCATACAGGGGTGGATACAGGACAACCCAGAAACTCCAAGCAATCCACAGGATGCAAGGGAAACATTACAACTCGCAACCTGCTAGTGTCCAACACGCCAGGTCCGTGTGCTCTCAAACCAAGGATGAATTCTAGAACCAGAGGTTACAGTGGGGTACCAGTCACCGCTGTTCAGCCCCAGGGGAAGCATGAGGGTGTGGCCACTTCTTTGTCCTGAGCCTGACGCTAACGTTCCTGTCTTCCGCCTTGGCTCTGAGGGTCCGGCCTTGTGCGATGGCCTAGAATATCCTAGAATACCGTCACTGCGCAGCAGTCTGCAGTACTGTGATGCGGCCACAGAGGCACAGCTCCAGTGCCCCGCCTCAAGCCATGCTCTGCTGTGTCCAGACAGCCTGTCTGGAGCTCCGCATGGAGTCTCACGGCTGTGTGTGGACTGATTCTTTCCACCTGTAAAAGTCGGGTACGCAGGCAGCAAGCACGCAGCCCCCGGTGAGCAAGCCACCGCCTCTGTGGTCTCCCAAGGTGGCCCAAGACTAAAGCCCATCTCAGGCCTGAGTAGAAGCCAACTAGATAAACCCTCTGCTGGCCGACTCTGATCCTACACTAACTCGAGATGCAAATCACAGGTTTCCGCTTCAGGGGCATTTGTAATTCTAAGCGTTCTTTATTTAGGAAACAGCAAAATCAGAGTAAGGGCCCACGGCATGCCAATTGTCCATGGTGTGCAGTGCTGGGACTAAGGGAGACATGCCGAGGGCCGGCTTTGGCCAGAGCGGAGACAGCTGGCCTTGAGGCCCATCCAAAGTGCAGGTGCGGGGCCTCTCGGGCCACCTCATGGGCTCCGCAGGGCCATGGCGCTCTTGCTGCGTGGAGACAACCGTTTTCAGAGGAGACCGGGGAGAGCTGGAACCACACAGAAGCGCTGCATGCCTGGGCTGGCAGGTGCTTGTGGGCTCCTCTCTACCTTCAGTTCCTGGTTGCAGGAGTCGGGTACCAGGTCCCAGACTTCAAAGGGGAGGAAGCTGGGTGTGTTTTGCTGTCTTGCTTCTTCGGGACCTTCCTTTTCTGGGCTGTGTTATCTGTCTCTACCCAGCAGAAGGCAGCAGCTAGGACCTTCAGGTTTTCCCAGGGGTGGGGCGTGCCCCGCAATACAGTATCCTCCTCCCCTCCCCTCCCCTTTCACACTGGGGACTGAATCCAGAAACACTGAGTTATATTTCCAGCCCTTTAAAAAATTTTTTATTTTGAGGCAGGATCTCACTGAGTTGCTGAGACTGGGTCAAACTCATAATCCTTCTGGCTCAGCCTCCCAAGTACCCGGCGTGTGCCAGGTGTGTGCCAGGTGTGTGCCACGTGTGTGCCACCACACCCAGGTTGGCTCCTTAATGGTTGTTCTCGTAAAGCTACTTGACAAAAAAGATCCTTATTTAAAACCAAACAAGCCGGGGATTTAGCTCAGTGGTTTCGCCACCTGCTGCGCAAGCGCAAGGACCTGAGTTCGATCCCCGGTACCGGGAAAAAAAAAAAGTGCCATTGGATAAAGCATGATACAACCAAACTTTCAGAAATTTGGAAAACATTAAAACTGCCTGCTTCGTTGGATTGGGGATTTAGCTCAGTGGTGCCACCACCTGCCTCGAAAGCGAAAGGTCCTGAGTTCAATCCCAGGTACCAAACAAAAAAAAAAAAGTTGGGGCTGGGGATTTGGCTCAGTGGTTTCACCGCCTGCTGCGCAAGCGGAAGGATCTGAGTTCGATCCCCGGCACCAAAAAAAAAAAAAAAAAGATTAAGCATAAAACCAAACAAAAGGGCTAGAAATTTTTCGATGAGATTTACTTCACTGTAACAAGTTACCATGCACACACGTGTATGTGTGTGTGTGTGTGTGTG